ATGGAAAGAGTCACAAATTTCCACAAGTTATGTAGTGGAGTTTTAAATGTCCAAGGTGCCAAAAGTTGTCACACCCCTATATAAACTACCAAATAATTTGTAACTATATCAAAAATTAAAAAAATATGTTCACAAACATGGGCTACTTGACATCTTCTTTTATTTTATTCTTCCTTGCTTTTGTGACTTATACTTATGCTGCCACTATCGAGGTCCGAAACAACTGTCCCTACACCGTTTGGGCGGCTTCGACCCCGATAGGCGGTGGCCGACGTCTCGATCGAGGCCAAACTTGGGTCATCAATGCGCCAAGGGGAACTAAGATGGCACGTATATGGGGTCGTACTAATTGCAATTTTAACGGTGCTGGTAGAGGTTCTTGCCAAACCGGAGATTGTGGTGGGGTCCTTCAGTGCACTGGGTGGGGCAAACCCCCAAACACCCTAGCTGAATATGCTTTGGACCAATTCAGCAACCTAGATTTCTGGGACATTTCTTTGGTTGACGGATTCAATATACCGATGACTTTTGCCCCAACCAATCCTAGTGGAGGAAAATGCCATGCAATTCATTGCACGGCTAATATAAACGGTGAATGCCCTGGTCCACTTAGGGTACCAGGAGGATGTAACAATCCTTGTACCACATTTGGAGGACAACAATATTGTTGTACCCAAGGTCCATGTGGTCCTACAAATTTCTCGAGATTTTTCAAACAAAGATGCCCTAATGCGTATAGCTACCCACAAGATGATCCTACTAGCTTATTCACTTGCCCTAGTGGTAGTACAAATTATAGGGTTGTTTTTTGCCCATAATTAATGCCACAATAAAACATATTTTGCTACAAATTAAATGGTATGAAAAAATTACCAAAATAATAAGTATCTTAAAAGGTTTGCTAAACTATGTTGCCTTAATGTGATAATAATCTCCTACGTGTGTAATGTATATCTCCCTTCAACTAATATAGTTTTATCATAATAAATAAATAATAGTAATATCGTTACTACTTTTACGCTAATGACCTGGTTAACACATGCCTAGAGCTAGTAAATTGGAATGTTCGTAACTCGTATCGAATATGGTCCAGGTGTTTATTGATTGGTTCAGTTCGATGTTGTCTATTTTTAGTTTAATTTATCGATTTTGATTTATAGCACGCTAAATCGATAGTCAAACGTTAACCAATGAACCAACAATCCTGTTTTCTTAATCTCATTGGCAGAGTTTTTTTAATCAACTTTGAATCTCCAAAAATTAAAGGAAATTAATCATTATTGCAGTTTGGTAATTTAGATTAAACGACAGTATATAATATAATATAGCTATAATTAATATCATGATTTCATGTGATAACTTTTCTCTCTATTGCTCCTTCAATATGATGCTTTACACTTTAACAATTATATAAGTGGCTTGTAAATTTCTCCCTTGTAGAAATTTTCCTTATAATCATTCCATCCATTTAATTCTTTATTGAAAGTCACAATTTTCCACAATTTATGTAGTGGAAGTTTTAAGATAATATAATTTTCCTAGAAAAATTTAAGAGATTTGGCTAAGTTTATAAGCTTTTTAAATTGATTTATAATATCTTTTAACTTATCTACGCAATATATGATAACATCCAAAGTACTTATATATATGCCTAAAACCACAAACTATGATTTTAAAGTTTATTATAAGCAATTTATATTTGACAATTTTTCTTTTACTATTTTATCCTTTAAAATTAAAAATACCAATTTGCTACTTCCACTATCACTATGATCATATATTTTCTACTCCAATACTTTTTTTTTTCCACCACATTGCCCCAAATTCTTCTCTATAAATACCAATTTTATCTCATCACACAAAACACATAAAAAGGCTAAGTAACCATTTTCATTAAAAAAAAAAATGTTCATTTTCAAGTCGATGTTTATTTTTCCTCTTGTTTTCTTTGTTCATTTTCTCCTCTTCACTCACTCTAAGGCAGCTATATTCGAAATTCGAAACAATTGTCCTTACACTGTTTGGGCCACGTTCGTGCCAGTGTGTGGTGGTGTCCAGCTCAACCTTAACTCCAATTGGACAATCTATATTTATATGTTCCACCTGGCACGTCACGAGCCCGTGTTTGGGCCCGAACTGGTTGCAATTTCGATGATTCGGGCCGTGGTAAGTGTCAGACTGGAGATTGCAATGGTTTACTCCATTGTGAATCTTATGGGCTACCACCAAACTCTTTGGCTGAATATTCCCTAAATCAAGACAACAATCTTGATTTTTTCGATGTCTCTTTCATCGTTGGATTCAACGTGCCAATAGAATTTAGTCCTATATCGAATTGGTGCACCCGTGGCATTAGGTGTAGTGTGGATATTAACATGATATGTCCATGTGTGGTAAAAACTCGCGGAGGATGTAACAACCCTTGTACAGTTTTTAAGACCGATCAATATTGTGGTCCAACAATATATTCAAGTGTTTTTTTAGGAAAGGTGTTATGATGCTTATAGTTACCCTAAGGATGTTAAAATTAGCATTTTTACTTGTCCTTGAGGAACTAACTATAAAGTTGTTTTTTGCCCATAAAAATACCAAGAAATAATATTTTTATCGCTACAAATTGGTATGAAAAATTACCAAAATAATATTGATGATAAGTTTGTATATATGCTTGTGGAATATATACACACCCTTCAACTTAATGTTTTTATAATGAAATATAATATAAGGTCAGTCTGTGTAACGACCTGTTCCCGTCGTTATAGAAAAGCTAACGGGGGAAAATTTGGGGCCGAAAAACTTTTTCGTAGTATTTGGATTTTCCCAACCTAGTCCAGATTTAGACGAAATCGGAGTCTTTAAGGTGTAGGGAAATCTGGTAACAATTGGGTGAATTATTTATGAGTTTGATTACATGAGCAGTTAGATAACTCGTTAAGGAACCCATACGACTTTACGGAATTGAATTCGGGCGAGTAGAACTCCCGAAATCGATCTTAGCGTGAAAGGTATTTTCTGAGCGTCGTGGGTTAGAGGTGTATTGTGAAATGGGGATTTTGGAATTCTTTAAATAGCTCTATGTTTCGTGCAACCCACTTTGGCGGGGCCGCTACAGCGGGATGATGGCCACTGTGGCGGGTTCGACACGACTTAAGGTCGTTAATAAACCCTTAAACGACCTTATTTGGCACTTTTTGATTTTTAGAGCTAAGGAACGAACCCCAGGCGACTCCTACTCGTTTTTCACCATTCTTGAGGCTAAAGGTAAGTTTTTCACTCCCCGAATCCATTTTTCGATTCGTAGAATGTAATAGAATGGGTGAATATTGATGGGGAGGGTTTTGTTATAGATTCTATGGTGGAAACAACCCTAATTTGGATAATTGGAATCATGGGTTTGATCTAGGGTTCATAGAATTGTTTAGTAATTTGGGTAATTAGTGGTTGTTTATTGATTCCCGTGTTATTATGATTGTTTGTAGACCAAGATCAAGCCGAACGAATCCGGAATGGGAAGGATCAAGTTTCTTAGGGTTTCAAGCTTGTTTTGAAGTAGGTGATGGTTGTGATTCTATGATTGTGTGATGTATGTTTGTTCTTGCTTCATTATGATACATGTATGTATATGAATATTGCATTATTGATCACACTTGCTGTAAATGAGATAGGTGAATGATGATTACCATGAAATCATGACTTAATTGTATGATCTTGAGGATATACTTGTGATTGTGATTGTGGTGTGTTGAATGGATCGGTTGCCACGTTCCGGCATAACTAACTTAGATCGGTTGCCACGTTCCGGCATAATTATTGGATCGGGTACCACGTTCCGGTATGCTAACTATTTGGGTTTGGGTTCAATGAGAGGACCAATGATTTGATATAATTGCGTATCTTGAGAAATGTGAAATTGTTCATTGTTTGTATATGTTGATAATATTGTATATGTTCGTTATATGCATGTGATTATATTGTTGTAATGACTTATGTATGTTGCACTTAGTGGGATAGCAGCGTGATCCTACCAGTACACTGTGGTTGTGTACTGATACTGCACTTGCTCTTATTTTTGTTGAGTACGTGGCATCTTCAAGCGGCTACTAACAGATCTCGCTTAGGAGATCAGTGATTGTTCGAATTCAAGGGTGAGCCAATTCTTCCGGGCTGCCATATGTTCTCTTTCGTCTATGTCCACCATATTCGGACCTAGACAGTTCTATTAGTTATTAGTACATTAGTTGGGATTATATCCCTTCTTGTTTAGACTTGGTTCATTGTTAGATGTTTTGTTACATTGACTTTCAGGTTCTAGGTTATTTCTTCCGCATTGTTTAGTTCTTGTTAGACTTTTGTTGGAGTTTATGGGAACTCCCTATTTATTTCCTTAGCATTTAACTTGCTTTCGTAACTTAAATGCCTTAGTTTTGGTTTAGTTGCTTGGTTTGGGTTGTAGTAATGGTTCTCCTACCGGAGAGTTAGTGTGGGTGCCAATCACGACGGTCTGGATCATGACCGTCTAATTGGTTCTTTACATGTAATTTTGATATAACGAGTATATTTTGATTCATCCTAAAGTTTATCGTTTGTCATTTCTGCTCTAATTTAATTCTTCTCTATATCCCAAAAGAAATTAAATGAGTTGAACAAAGATAATAACCTTTTCAGATATTCTATATGTAAAAATAAAGATTATTTCTTATAAGCAAATTATAAAAGGCTAGAAAATCATTTCTCCCAAATAATAAGTAGATGTAAATCTCTCGATATAACTTGTTAAATATGATAACTAACATATACACTATTATAGATCAAACAAATTTACACCTTCCTTAGACTATAGTTGTGAGATTTCACTGATATATAGCCGTAGAAGTAAGTATAACAATAATCATATTAATATTAATAGTCACATTTATTTATCACCAAATATAGTAGAAACATTAACCATATTACAGCTCCAATTTATTTTTCTGGAGGGTAGGTACATAACATCAATTAATTTTGTTTAACCAACTTTGGGAATTTGTACAACAAAGTTCAATATATTAACAAAAAGACGAACTCTATTGCATCTCAAATCTTCTGTAAAAGCAGAACCATTCAGTAGAGTTTCAACATTTGTTAATTTTGGATTTTCCTTCTGAATTATTTGCTTTGCAAACTTAGCTGGTGTCCCTAGAAGTTCTGGCCAACTTTCTTTCGTCACACCTATAATTTACAAAAATACAAGTAATTAATTAAATATTATATGCACAATTATATATATACACATAATAAACTGTCCCCGGTTTTAATGTATGACAATGGACAGGTGTGTTTATTTATTCAACTTTATACGAGTTTTAGTGACTATTTGTATACATTCAAAGTTGAATTGGGACCCTGACCTCAACCCCCGACAGTCGAACCTATAGACACGACCCCGATAATCAACCTGAGATTCGATCCTGACATTCGTTCAAATTTAGTTGGACCTCATACGAATATCAAACACCGAACGAAAAAAAAGAAAAAAAAGATGATATTGTAAAAACCAAACCTGGACAAAATGATTGCGACAAATCATGTAGTTGTACGACATTTAAGCCATCACTAACTTCGATTTCCAAATCTCGAGCAGTGAGAGATTGAAAGCCTGTTCACAAATAATTTTACATAATTAATTAAGTTTTTTTTAATAAATAAAAATAATATATGTGAAGAAATTTAATAAAGTATAAATAAATGGTCAATTAATTACATGATGCAAGAATTATCAAGAAAGCAACCAACTTCACCATAGACTTATTTGCCTCCATTTAATTCTGCAATTTCTTTAAAGAATCTAAGTTTATATTTTGTGTGTTAGATGTATTTGGTTTTAGAGGGATAGACAGATGTTTATTTTAATGTTGATCGATGATAAGCTTGATGACTTGTCGATCTATTCCTCCCAATTTATTTTAATTAGTTAATGTATCCATGCTTCCATCGTGAAATAAATAAAGTATGATGTTAAATAATTTATTGACTTTTGCATCAATAGGGGTTCTTTTAATAGATATTTGCACTAAAAGTTGTGACTCCAATCTCGACTTAGAATAATCAAACACTTGTCACAAATCACATAGACTTTCCCATCAGGCAGAATAGTTGTGATTTTAAAATCAGAATGATTTGTATATTTCACATTGATCTAACAAATGATCCATACGAGTAATATGAAAAAAAAAACTAATTTTTACTTTCAATTTTTATGATTTTTTATGTTCAAACGCGTACCTATAAGGCTAGAACGTAAAAGTAAAAATGGGCATAGATAAGTTTGCAAGAAACTTTGGCCACGAAAAATCTTAAAATAGCCGCTTTTTAATATTTAGTTTTAAGAAAAGTTCCGTCACGATACAGAGTTTATATGTCCAAGTTATCACCAAATAAAATTCACTTGTAACTATAGTCTATATTCATAAAATAAGTAATTATTAGGCGGCTCTTATACATTTTGCCACCTCAACGTTTACCAAATCATATTGTAATATTATTTGTTTATAATTAGTCAAAGTATGATATTGTTATATAATACGATTAATATCCATAGTGCCAAAAGCCGCCATATCCCTATATATAAAGTACCAAAAATAATTTGTCCACATATAAATTTCAACAAACATGGGGTACTTGAGATCTTCTTTTGTTTTCTCCCTTCTTGCTTTTGTGACTTTCACTTATGCTGCCACTATAGAAGTACGCAACAACTGTCCATACACCGTCTGGGCGGCATCGACCCCGATAGGCGGTGGGCGACGTCTCGATCGAGGCTAAACGTGGGTCATTGATGCGCCTAGGGGCACTACGATGGCACGTATATGGGGTCGTACTGGATGTAACTTCGATGGTGCTGGTAGAGGTTCGTGCATGACTGGTGATTGTGGTGGTGTCCTGCAGTGCACCGGGTGGGGCAAACCGCCAAACACCCTAGCCGAGTATGCCTTGGACCAGTTCAGCAACTTAGATTTTTGGGACATTTCTTTAGTTGATGGATTTAATATACCGATGACTTTCGCTCCGACTAATCCAAGTGGAGAGAAATGCCACGCAATTCAATGCACGGCTAATATAAATGGTGAATGTCCTGGTCAACTTAAAGTACCCGGAGGATGTAACAATCCGTGTACCACGTTTGAAGGACAACAATATTGTTGCACCGAAGGTCCATGTGGTCCTACGTTCTTTTCCAATTTTTTCAAACAAAGATGTCCTGATGCGTATAGCTACCCACAAGATGATCCTACTAGCACATTTACTTGTCCTAGTGGTAGTACAAACTATAGGGTTGTCTTTTGTCCTAATGGTGTTGCTGGCCCAAATTTCCCCTTGGAGATGCGTGCAAGTACTGATGAAGTGGCCAAGTAAATGAGAAATCTTGCTCTCTTATACAATTTGAACAGAAGATAATAGCCTTTTCAGATTTTCTATAGGTTAAAATAAAGATTATTTCTTATAAGCAAGTTATAAAAGGCTAGAAAGTCATTGATAACAAGTTTATGTATATGCGTGTGGAGTGTGTATATATATATATATATATACCCTTCAACTTAAATGTTTTTATAATGAAATATGATATAAGGTCAGTCTAATTGATTCTTTACACGTAGTTTTGATGTATCGACTATATTTCGATTCATCCTACAGTTTATCGTTTGTCATTTATGCTTTAATTTAATTCTTCTCTATATCCCAGAAGAAATTAAATGAGTTGAACGAAAGATAATAGCTTTTTCAGATATTCTATAGTAATAATAAAGATTATTTCTTATAAGCAAATTATAAAAGGCTAGAAAATCATTTCTCCTAAATAATAAGTAGATGTAAACCGTCTCTCGATATAACCAGGGGCGGTTCTATGCTTTGGAAAATAAGGCCTTTGTCTTAGGCCCCCAAATTTTTATCAAGAATAAATTATGTGTTAAAATTTTTATAGAAAAATTCATTATTTATGATAAAAATTATAATTTTTTTAAAAATAAATTATTTTATCCACTTTAACATCTTTTGTACTTTGTTAAAAATAAGAATTAATAGTGAAAAGTGTTGAACAAAGTGAATTACAAATTCTTTTTTATTTCTTTTTAAATTTTTAGTTTCAAGCATTACTATAAGCATATTAAAATGCGGTATACCAAGCCATCAACTTCTTGAGTCAAATTTTATGGTTCTAACTCTTATCTTTATTTAATATTTATCAACTTATTACTTATAGCATTATGTTAACAATACATATAATAATTTCCTCACTTAAAAGATGTTTTTCAATGTTGGGTTGATAAAATCTTACCTAAAACTAGTAACTGAAAAAACAATATTACATACTAATAATTTTAATCTAAATAGTGTAAAAAAATAAATTATGAATAAATACGTATATGAAGTGTATTTATAATTTAGGCCATGAATTAAAATTTCGCTTTAGGCCCCCAATTACGTTGAGCCGCCCCTAAATATAACTTGTTAAATATTATAACTAATATACATGTACACTATTATAGATTAAAATATATTCATTTGGTAATCAAACAAGTTTACGTTATAATTGAGGAAAGGTTACGTACACATCACTTTCCACATACTTCAGTACTTGTGAGATTTCAATGATTATTGTTGTTGTAGTAGTATATGTATAACAAATGAAAAATCATATTAATATTAAAAGCCACATTTATTTATCACCAAATATAGTGGAAACATTAACCATACATCTCCAATTTATTTTTCTGGAGGCTAGATACATATATATATATATATATATAGCATGAATTAATTTTGTTTAACCAACTTTGGGAGTTTGTACAACAATGTCCAATAAATTAACAAAAAGACGAACTCTATTGCATCTCAAATCTTCTGTAAAAGCAGAACCATTCAGTAGAGTTTCAACATTTGTTAATTTTGGATTTTCCTTCTGAATTATTTGTTTTGCAAACTTAGCTGGTGTCCCTAGAAGTTCTGGCCAACTTTCTTTCGTCACACCTATAATTTACAAAAATACAAGTAATTAATTAAATATTATATGCACAATTATATATATACACATAATAAACTGTCCCCGGTTTTAATGTATGACACTGGACGGGTGTATTTATTTATTCAACTTTATACGAGTTTTAGTGACTATTTGTATACATTCAAAGTTGAAGGATATATATGTCAGTTAAGGCTAAGTTAAAGAGCACATTTATATTTTATGTCATTATTAATTGATTAAAACTTCTATAAATCAAAAGTTATTTTATAATAGAAAAAATCAACAATTAGACTTCAACAATAATCAGGAGATGAAAGACCAACAAGAATTGTGATTTGTGGAGTGTTAAGTATGAATCTTAATGTGGTGAACTAGTGGGAGTGCTTCACCCTTAACCAGAGGTCTCGGGTTCGAGCCTTGGGTATGGAGAAAATCTTGTTGGGAGTGCGTGATTCGAATTTAGTCGGGGCTTCAATGTGGGCTTCAGACACCGGATGAAAAATAAAAAAAAAGAAGTATGAATCTTAATTTATATATTCTTTATCAGATGTCTTAGATTTTGGTCCCCCTAAATATAGATTCGTCAATTGTTAGAAACTATTTTATTCCTCAATATATTAAATTTCAATGTGAATTCAAATTTAGTCAGGTCTCATACGAATATCAAGCACCGAAATAAAAAAAGAAGATGATTGAGTAAAAACCAAACCTGGACAAAATGATTGAGAGACATCATGTAGTTGCAAGTCATTTAAGCCATCACTAACTTCGATTTCCAAATCTTGAGCAGTGAGAGATTGAAAGCCTGTTCATAAATAATTTTACATAATTAATTAATTTTTTTAATAAATAAAAATATTAAATATATGTGAAAGAAATTAAATTTAAAATAGAAAGAAATGGTCAATTAATTACATGATGCAAAAATTATCAAGAAAGCAACCAACTTCACCATAGACTTATTTGCCTCCATTTAATTCTGCAATTTCTTTAAAGAATCTAAGTTTATATTTGTGTTGTTAGATGCATTTAGTTTTAGAGGTATATATAGATATTTATAGGAGATATTTTTTTAACTCAATTGTACATGATCCACTTGTTTATCTAAAAGCAGCCATACTAACATTATTTTAATGTGGATCGACGATAAGTTTGACGACTTGTCAGTCAATTCCTCCCAATTTATTTATTGATTTTTGCATCAATAGGGGTTCTTTTAATAGATACTTGCATTAAAAAGTTGTGGTTCAACAAATGATCTGTTACATCAAAATCGTGTTGATTTGTATATTTCATGTTAATCTAGCAAATGATCCATACTACGAGTAATATGAAGAAAATATAACTAATTTTACTTTCAATTTTTATGTTCAAATGCGTACTAAACACGATAAAAGTAAAATGAGCATAGATAAGTACGGAAGAAACTTTGGTCACGAAAGATATTGAAATGACTGTTTTTTTTAAGAAAAAAATAGTTTTAGGAAAAAGGTCCGTCACGTTAGTTCATAAAATAATTAATTATTAGGCGGCTCTTATATATTTTCCACCTCAACCTTTACCAACGCATATTTTAATATTATTCGTTTATAATTAGTCAAAGTATGATATTGTGTTATATATGATTAATAAAAATCCATATTGCCAAAAGCCGCCATACCCCTATATAAAGTACCAAAAAATAATTTGTCCTCATATATAAATTTCAACAAATTAACATGGGCTACTTGAGATCTTTTATTTTCTCCCTTCTTGCTTTTGTGACTTACACTTATGCTGCCACTATCGAGGTACGCAATAACTGTCCATACACCGTGTGGGCAGCATCGACCCCAATAGGCGGTGGTCGACGTCTCAATAAGGGCCAAACATGGGTCATTAATGCTCCAAGGGGAACTAAGATGGCACGTATATGGGGTCGTACTGGTTGTAACTTCAATGCTGCAGGAAGGGGTTCGTGTCAGACTGGTGATTGTGGTGGAGTCTTGCAGTGTACCGGGTGGGGTAAGCCCCCAAACACCTTGGCTGAATATGCCTTGGATCAGTTTAACAACCTAGATTTCTGGGATATTTCTCTAGTTGACGGATTCAATATTCCGATGACTTTTGCCCCTACCAAACCTAGTGCTGGGAAATGTCATGCAATTCATTGCACGGCCAATATAAATGGTGAATGTCCTCGCGCCCTTAAGGTACCTGGAGGATGTAACAATCCTTGTACCACGTTTGGAGGACAGCAATATTGCTGCACCCAAGGTCCATGTGGTCCTACAGAGTTGTCCAAATTTTTCAAGAAAAGATGCCCCGATGCTTATAGCTACCCACAAGATGATCCTACTAGCACATTTACTTGTCCTGGAGGTAGTACAAACTATAGGGTTGTCTTTTGTCCTAATGGTGTTGCTGATCCAAATTTCCCCTTGGAGATGCCTGCAAGTACTGATGAAGTGGCCAAGTAAATTTGAGTCTCTTTCTTTAAAATTACTTCAAATGGTCGAGTGATCTCTCGTGTAATGAAAAATCTTAATTGCCCAATTAGTTAACTATTTGAACTTTTACTTTATTGGTGAGAGTTTGTAATAGACTTAAGACCTAAATAAGAGTTACATCCCACGTGTACTTTTCTTGATGTATAAATCAACAGTGCATTTGAATTATCGTTCTTTTTAAAAAAAAAAAAAAACTCTTAGTAAAGTGTTAAGACTTAGACCAATAAACAAACAAAAAAGTATTGATAATGTCCTAGCTGAACTATGAAAAGGTGAAATTTTATCTTTTAAATTTTGGTTAATTGAATTTATTTCCCTGAGAATCATTTCGCGCTGTTATGTATATGAGCCTCTTTAAATCGAACTTATTATTAGTAATTCGCTACCAGAAATCAGACTTTTTTGGTCACTAGGAGCATAGTAAATCGCCACTGAATATTTTTAGTGGCGACCATAATGCACTGCAAGTAACTCCATAACTAATGGCAATTAAATTTGCGACAAAAATCAACGACGATAAAAACCACCAAATAGATCTTAGGTAGATCGCCAGTGAAATTACGTCTTTACTCGGATTTACTGACGATATTTAATTGAGTTAAGTTTCTAGAAAACTCTTAAACTATCATTTTTTTAATTTTATATTTAAATTATTGAGAGTGTAAGAGAAACGCCCATAAACTATCACTCATAAGTTTGAATAAAACACCTCAAGTAATATGTGATAGTGTTTGTATTACACTCTCTTTTAAAAAAATAATATAATCGTCACGTGAAAAAAATGTCACAATGGCAAAAAGTTCAAAATTAAAAGAGTGAAGTGTCAAAAACACACCTAAACTATTGAGAGTGTGAAAAACACATCCAAACTATCACTTATAAGTTTGAGAAACAGTACACCTAAAATAATATGCGATACTATGTGTGTTACACTTCTTTTAAAAGAATAATATTATCACATAAATTGTGGAAAATAATTCAGGGTTGGAGTGTTTCACCCTTAATTAGAGGTCTCGGGTTCGAGCCCTGGGTATAGAAAAAATCTTGTTGGGAACGTCACCCCAAATGAGCTCTGCAGTGTCTGATTCAAATTTAATCTGAGATCTAATATAGGCTCCCGAGTGGAAAATAAATAAAAAATGAACAATGAAATTGAGAAGCTATCATGGTATTAGTTGGAGAGAGAATGAGGAAATTTATCATTTTATCCCTTTTCCAAGATGGGAAATTGAAGATTTGTGAAGTGAATTAATGCTTAGGGGAAAGTGTAGATTTACTAATTGAAGATTTTAGATGCAATCAATTGGAATAACTTTCATTATTTTATTGATTGTGATCCGAAAATTTCGCCTCCAAATAATCGATAAAATAAATAATACGGGTGAAACTTGAACACGAAACTCTCCGTTTTATATTAGTTGATCTTTATACTAAATATAATTGTCTCATTTTAGTTGATCACTTTACTAAATCAAGTAAAGATTAATTAATTTTTTCTATATTATTCTTGCAATTATTTCTTTTTGAAAGTGTTCACATTTATTTGTAAAATTTTCAAGAAGTTTTTTAAGGGGTGAATTAATAAAATCATCTTCTTATTTATAATTTCTTAAGCATCGTATAAAATAGAAAATGATCATCTAATATGAGGCGGGAGAAATATAAAAAAAAACTTTGTCCATGAAAGAAAAATAATGGTTACTTCTTTCAATTAAGTTTTAAGAAAAAGTCTTGTCACGTTATATTAAATAAATTTGTCTTCTATGTTATCCATATGGATTGCCGTCAAAATCGGATGAAATTTCTCTATTCTGAATGAATGTGAATTTAAACCTTTAGAAATGAAAAAAATCTTTGTTAACAATACAATTAACAGAAATCGAACACTAGATAAGAAATCGAATAAAAATAATAGTTTGACTCATACAAAGTAATGGAGTAATTAGTAGGCGGCTCTTATATGTTGAGCCACCTCAACCTTTACTTAAACATATTTCAATATTATTCGTTGATTAGTCAAGTGTGATATTGATATTTGTGATTAAAATCCATAGTTTCAAAAGCCGCCACACCCCTATATAAACTGCCCAACAATTTGTCACAATATCCAACAACTTAGATTAAAAAATATAGTTCCACAAACATGGCCTACTTGAGATCTTCTTTTGTTTTCTTCCTCCTTGCTTTTGTGACTTACACTTATGCTGCCACTATCGAGGTACGCAATAACTGTCCATACACCGTGTGGGCAGCATCGACCCCGATAGGCGGTGGCCGACGTCTCGATCGAGGCCAGACATGGGTTATCAATGCACCGAGGGGCACTAAGATGGCACGTATATGGGGTCGTACTAATTGCAACTTTGATGGTGCTGGTAGAGGTTCATGCCAGACTGGTGATTGTGGTGGGGTCTTGCAGTGTACCGGGTGGGGCAAACCACCAAACACCCTGGCCGAGTACGCCTTGGACCAGTTCAGCAACCTAGATTTCTGGGACATTTCTTTAGTCGATGGATTTAATATTCCGATGACTTTCGCCCCGACTAATCCTAGTGGAGGGAAATGCCACGCAATTCATTGCACGGCTAATATAAATGGTGAATGTCCTGGTTCACTTAGGGTACCTGGAGGATGTAACAATCCTTGTACCACGTTCGGAGGACAACAATATTGTTGCACCCAAGGTCCATGTGGTCCTACTGATTTGTCAAGATTCTTCAAACAAAGATGCCCCGATGTCTATAGCTACCCACAAGATGATCCTACTAGTACATTTACTTGCCCTAGTGGTAGTACAAATTATAGGGTTGTCTTTTGTCCTAATGGTGTTACTAGCCCAAATTTCCCCTTGGAGATGCCTGCAAGTGATGAAGAGGCTAAGTAAAATTGAGTCACTTTCTTTTAAATTGCTTGAAGTGGTCAAGTTATATTGGCTTGTAATAAACCTAATATAATACATGAATAAGAGTCACATCATCACAAATCTGTTGTTTCGAATATTATTTTATGTTCTTTTGTGTATATTTTGTTGTTTACGGTAGCAGGTTGTCAAGTGAGAGAATGATGACGGTTAATTCAAGGACATAAAGATTTTAATATGCAGGATAAGATAAATAAAGATATCTCATAAGATTATTTTATCTCACTTTCTGTATAAAGATAAAAATTTCATCATTTTATAAATAATGAAATAAATTAATCTCAAAATTAGCTAATACCTCAAAATAACATAAAATAAAATTAATCCCAAATTTTATTCCGAATTATTATCCATAATTTTAGTTCAAAGTCAATAGATATATGGAAATTTTTGTTTTTAGGCGGCTCTTAGAACATTTTCAAGTACGTACGTAACTAAATGATGCTCTGCACGTGCTACTTGAATTCTATGCAGAAATTCCTCAAAATAAGCAAATACTTTTGACACAATGACAAAAGATTAAATTAAGAAAATTATTTTTTTACTACCAAAAAAATTGTTTTTTTAAATATAGAAAATTTCACCATTTTTATCTTTAACATGTTTTTACATATTTTAGAGAATTAAAAGTGAATTAGGTTTTAAATTTAATAACTTATAACTTCATGTAATAGATTAACAAATTGACTTTATCGCACTCACATATATTAAAATAAAATTGTGAAAAATAAATATAATAATTTGTCGCCACCCAAAAGGCAAAAAAACATAATAGAACGTGACTTTACTAGCTAATATCAATCTCCTTTGAAACAATGATTGATTTGAACTTAACAGAAATTGATGGAATGAAATGACTAAATATTGTATTAGGATAAAATAACAACATTACTTTGGAAAATAATATTCTTTTGTCGATATAGTAAGTAATGATCAACAATTAATTAACCACCAAGCAACATAAAAGACCCCACTCACCAATATCTCCATGTACCCCCATTTTCTTGACTTTTGAGTGGAGATGCACATACGTTTTTCTTTTAATTATCCACTTGACATATGACATATTTTTTCTATAATAATGGTGGGGAGTTAAAAAGGTTACATGATGCGAATTTAAATTATTTGATACGCTTTTAAGAAAAAGAAAGGGTGAAATTATTTGAATATATCTTGATAATGATCTATTATTTTTAAATAAAACGTGACAAATATTTTAGAACAGAGTGAGTATTTTCTGTGTGCTAAGGACTTTGCTTCTTATTTTCAGGAGTAGTTGCATAAAAGTCACGGAACATGCATCATGACGTGCTGAAAATATGCAAAGGGGCTGTGGTGGCATGTTAGTTTTCGATTTTTAATATGATATATCGAGTTTGAGTCATGAGAATAAAATCTCTTTTGGTTATAATAAGTGTTTTGCCTTCAAAGTAAGATTTTTCGAATATATCAAGCCCAATGCAAATATTGAATATCAAGGACATGATTAGTAGCGGAGTAATAATTTTCACTAAAGGACTTTAAAATATGAAGAAGCAAACACACGAAGAATTCAAAGGATCAAAGATTCATTAATTAATTAATCATTATATATATATTAAAAATAATTTTAACTATATATAAATAACGTCCGTAATTATTCATGAATTTTTTTTTGAATGAACTCCTTGCCTCTACCTGGCTCCGCCTTTGACCCTATGCATGAAAAATATTCTAAAAGCCGCCTATAAAGATAGCTATCCTACAGTAATTATAATAGTTTATCTTGTCCCTACAATTTTATATTTTCGTTCTGATTATTTGTAGAATGTTATCAGCACTATTTTTTCATTCCTTTTTTTTCTAAGGTTTAAGACTTAAATAATTAGGAATTAAAAAGACAAAATTAAACGACTCCAAATGCACTCTTGTGTGAAAATTTAAAACATCATGTGTAAGACAAAGTACAATATGTTATTCAAATCTTAGCCACCTCAAGATAACAAACTAAAAGAAATGTGGATAATATAAAAGACAACTAATGACCAAAACTCAACCAAATTGAACAAGAAAGAGGTGGCTACACTCATGATGAATCTACTTAAGCAACTTCAAGAATACTTGTAGGCATCTCCAATGGGAAATTTGTTGTTTCATTGTGAGTAGAGCCATAAGGACAGAACATAATTTTGTAGTCCGTAGTCCAACTCTGAGTAACTACTTTCCATTCTTAATCTCATGAGTAACTACTGCACTTTTAAAATCTTTCTTGCTTTCAAAAACACATTCTAGAGCTAAAATTGGATTGTCTCCATCTGTTTGTGGATTGAATGTAGAAAAGTTCAAGATCTCATTTTCAGAATCACTATGCAAACTTTTTGTGTCCGTAGAATCAACACAATCAGACTCTCTTTCTGGAGCTGTCATCTTTCTCTGTGCTTCGATACTAAGGATCTCCCATTCATCCACTATGTATTGTGCAGTCTTTTCATGTTTATCAACAAGTAAACCATCAGTTAACTCAACTTCCGAGTCACTGAAATCATTTGCCAATGGATTTTCCTGAACAAGTTGTTGTCTGTTATTATCTGCAGCATTTGAGCTATGTATAGAAGTCATATTTTCTATATTGAAATATGAATCCAAGTGTTCGAAGTAAATTTCGATCATGTTGTCATTTGGGATGTTTTTGCGAACATCATGAGCTTCATTATCTGTAGACACCAACCTCCATCTATTACCAGATCTTCCACATCTATGCCAAAAAGTAATTGAATTCTTTAAGTATCCACAAATCTCTGCCATCTTCTTAAACTCATCAAGGTCCAATTTGTTTGCATTAACATAATCAATATAGTTTATGTTGCCCTCAACATAATGCTTTTCTGGAGTACGTTTCATAACTCCTCCGTGGTGTATTTTGATACTGAAAAATGATGTATCTGCCATCGATTCTAAAATAGCAAAAAATATATTCTAATCAACACAAATAATACATATGCAACATGATATTAATATTAAAGCAAATAACAAAAAGTATAAATTTCAGGGGTATTGATTAAGTCATAAAACTTCTAAAATATTAACAAAGCGACATCTTTATGTATATATATATTCATAAACGTGCCTCTTGTGTTGAATTATTTTTTGGGATAGTGGGATTTGATTAAAAGAATTTAAAATAAAATCGTACTTACCATAAATTAGAGGTGATTCTCTGTCATTGTTGCTCCTTAAAAACATTATAACTTCCAAACTTTGATTATATTATTGAAGAAAGTATAATGCAGGTTTCAGATTTTAGGGTTATTTGGAGATTAGAGATAAAAAGGGGAAAAACTAAGAAAGAAGACTAATGTTTCAAAAGGAGAAGCCCAAATGGCATTGCAATAGCAAGAGTCTTTAAGTTTGGAGGGAAACATATGAGAAGCACGTGCATAACCCACTGGGCTATTAAAAAATTAACTGTGGTTAAGATGAAGACTGAAAATGCACTACTTTATTAAAGAATCAGGACTATTAATGCTCCACTAAAAAGAAATAGGACTATTTTGAGTCTAAACTCAAAGATAATGGACTATTTTAAGCCTTTCCTCGCACTTAGCAGATTCAGTTTTTTTTTTTATAAAAAGCGAAAAATAAAAATGAAGAACCAAAACAGAGTTTAAAATAATTGAAATGGGGAGAAGAAGAAGACAACTGCTGGTATAGCCTACAGGCTACAGCGGTGGGGGTGGGTTTGTTTTCTTTTTGGATATTATAAGACATCATTTTGAATAAAAGTTTATTTTTAATTATTTTAATTAATGCAATGCCAAGTGTCATAAGAAGGAAAAAAGTACACGTTTATTATTAATAAAAAAAAGTTTGGGACCTGTTCACACGCTTCAATGCAGTGAGATGCACTTATTTTGCCATATCAGCATTTTGTACTTAATAGACACATGTTTTGAATAATTTAGGTGTTCAATAGGTACAAGCCATAGTTGAGATGTTTAAGTGAATTATGAGGACAACCTTAACGGGCAGCAGATGACTTAAGCCTAAGTTTTAAGAAAAAGTTTTGTCACGTTATATTAAACAAATTAGTCTTCTATGTTATTGATATGGATTGCCGTTGAAACAGATGCAATTTCTCTATTCTTAATGAATGTGAATTTGAACCTTTAAAAATGAAAAAATCTTGTTAAGAGCATAATTAATTTGTAAATTTAGATTTAATCAGAACAGCATACATCGAACACTAGATAAGAAATCGAAAAAATAATAGTTTGACTTTTATTTTCATATAAAGTAATGGAGTAATTGGTAGGCGGCTCTTATATGTTGAGCCACCTCAACCTTAACTTAAACATATTTAAATATTATTCGTTGATTAGTCAAGTGTGATATTGATATTTGTGATTAAAATCCGTAGTTTCAAAAGCCGCCACACCCCTATATAAACTGCCCAACAATTTGTCACTACATCCAACAACTTGACCAAAAAAAAAAGTTAAAAAAACATGGCCTACTTGAGATCTTCTTTTGTTTTCTTCTTCCTTGCTTTTGTGACTTATACTTATGCTACCTCTTTTGAGGTCCGAAACAACTGTCCATACACCGTGTGGGCGGCATCGACCCCGATAGGCGGTGGGCAACGTCTCGATCAAGGTCAGACATGGGTCATCAATGCACCGAGGGGCACTACGATGGCACGTATATGGGGTCGTACTAATTGCAATTTTGATGGTGCTGGTAGAGGTTCTTGTCAGACTGGTGATTGTGGTGGAGTCTTGCAGTGTACCGGATGGGGTAAACCGCCAAACACCCTGGCCGAATACGCCTTGAACCAATTTAACAACCTAGATTTCTGGGACATTTCTTTAGTCGATGGATTTAATATACCGATGACTTTTGCTCCGACTAATCCAAGTGGAGAGAAATGCCACGCAATTCAATGCGCGGCTAATATAAATGGTGAATGTCCTGGTCAACTTAAAGTACCCGGAGGATGTAACAATCCTTGTACCACGTTTGGAGGACAACAATATTGTTGCACCCAAGGTCCATGTGATCCTACTGATTTGTCTAGATTTTTCAAAGAAAGATGTCCTGATGCCTATAGCTATCCACAGGATGATGCAACTAGCACATTTACTTGCCCTAGTGATAGTACAGATTATACGGTTGTCTTTTGCCCTAATGGTGTTACTAGCCCAAATTTCCCCTTGGAGATGCCTTCAAGTGATGAAGAGGCCAAGTAAAATTGAGTCTCTTTCTTTTGTATTGGCTTGTAATAAACCTAATATAATTACATGAATAAGTACCACATCATCACAAATGTACTTTGTCTTGTTTTTTAAAAAAAAATAAAAAATCAACACTGTATTTGGATTATGGTTTTGATGGTTTTTCTTTTTAACTTTTAATTGTAGTGAAATTTCAGGTTTAAAAATTTCGATTAGTTATATCTGTTGTTTCAAATATTATTTTATGTTCTTTCGTGTATATTTTGTTGTTTACGATAGCAGCTTGTCAAGTGAGAGAATGACTATTCATGTCGGTTCAAGGACATAAATGTTATAATACGCAGGATAAGATAAGTAAGAATATCTCATGAGATTTTTTTATCTCACTTTCTATATAAGATAATAATTATTTTAATCAATATAGTGGGATAAAATATTCTCAGAATTAACTAATACGTCAAAACAAATATAAAATAAAATTAATCTCAAGTTTTATTGTGAAATTATTGTTCAAAATTTTAAGACAAAGTCAATAGTAGATGAAAATATTTGTTTATAGGCGGCTCTTAGAGCATTTTTAAGTACGTAACTGAATGATGTTATCTGCACGTGCTACTTGAATTCTATGCAGAAACTCCTCAAAATAAGCAAATACATTTGATACAATGACAAAAGATTAAATTAAGAAATTTATATTTTTATTAAGAAATATTTTTAAATATAGAAAATTCACTATTTTTATCTTTAACATGTTTTTACATATTTTAGAGAATTAAAAGTGAAATAGTTTTTATTAACTTATTAACTTCATGTAATAGATTAACAAATTGACTTTATCGCACTCACATATATTAAAATGAAATTGTGAAAAATAACTATAATAATTTGTCAACACCCAAAAGGCAAAAAAAAAAAAAAAAAAGACAGAACAGAACGTGACTTTACTAATATCAATCTCCTTTGAAACAACGATTGATTTGAACTTAACAGAAATTGATGGAATGAAATGACTAAATATTGTATTAGGATAAAATAACAACATTACTTTGGAAAATAATATACTTTTGTTAATATAGTAAGTAATGATAAATAATTAATTAACCACCACGCAACATAAAAGACCCCACTCACCAATATCTCCATGTACCCCTATTTTCTTGACTTTTGAGTGTAGATGCACATACGTTTTTCTTTTAAGTATCAACTTGACATATGACATATTTTTTCTATAATAATGGTGGGGAGTTAAAAGGTTACGTGATGCAAATTTAAATTATTTGGTACGCTTTTAAGAAAAAGGAAGGGTGAAATTATTGGAATATATCTTGATAATGATCTATCATTTTCAAATAAAACGTGAAAAATATTTTAGAACAGAGTGAGTATTATTGTGTGCTAAGGACTTTGCTTCTTATTTTCAGGAGTAGTTGCATAAAAGTCACGGAACATGCATCATGACGTGCTGAAAATATGCAAAGGGGCTGTGGTGGCATGTTAGTTTTCGATTTTTAATATGATATATCGAGTTTGAGTCATGAGAATAAAATTTCTTTTGGTTATAATAAGTGTTTTGCCTTCGAAGTAAGATTTTTCCAAGGCAGATTCTAATATATCAAGCCCAATGCATATATTGAATATCAAGGGCATGATTAGTAGCGGAGTAATAATTTTCATTAAAGGACTTTAAAATATGAAGAAATAAACACACAAAATTTAAAGGATCAAAGATTCATTAATTGATTAATCACTATATATATATATATTAAAAATAATTCTAACTATATATAAATAACGTCTGTAATTATTCATGAATTTTTTTTTGAATGAACTCCTTGCCTCTACCTGGCTCCGCCTTTGACCCTATGCATGAAAATATTCTAAAAGCCGCCTATAAAGATAGTTATCCTACAGTAATTATAATAGTTTATCTTGTCCCTACAATTTTAAATTTTTGTTCTGATTATTTGTAGAATGTTATCAGCACTATTTTTTCATTCCTTTTTTTTCTAAGGTTTAAGACTTAAATGATTAGGAATTAAAAAGACAAAATTAAACGACTCCAAATGCACTCGTGTGAAAATTTAAAACATCATGTGTAAGACAAAGTACAATATGTTATTCAAATCTTAGCCACCTCAAGATAACAAACTGAAAGAAATGTGGATAATATAAAAGACAACTAATGACCAAAACTCAACCAAATTGAACAAGAAAGAGGTGGCTACACTCATGATGAATCTACTTAAGCAACTTCAAGAATACTTGTAGGCATCTCCAATGGGAAATTTGTTGTTTCATTGTGAGTAGAGCCATAAGGACAGAACATAATCTTGTAGTCCGTAGTCCAACTCTGACAAGTAAAAGTACTTGTTGGATCGTCTTGAGGGTAACTATAGGCATCAGGACATCTTTGTTTGAAAAATCTTGACAATTCAGTAGGACCACATGGACCGTGATTACAACAGTATTGTTGTCCTCCGAATGTGGTACATGGGTTGTTACATCCTCCAGGTACCCTAAGTGATCCAGGACATTCACCGTTTATATTGGCTGTGCATTGAATTCCATGACATTTTCCAGGTCCAGGCTTAGTTGGTCCAAAAGACATAGGAATGTTAAATCCATCAATTACAGAAATATCCCAGAAATCTAGGTTACCAAACTGGTTCAAAGCGTATTCAGCTAAGGTGTTTGGCGGTTTACCCCATCCTTTGCAATCTAGGACTCCACCACAATCACCAGTCTGGCACCCACCTCTACCAGCACCATCGAAGTTGCAATTAGTACGACCCCATATACGTGCCATTTTAGTGCCCGGTGGGGCCCAAAACCACCAACTCTGACCTCTCTCGAGACGTCGTCCACCTCCTACGGGGACCGCCGCCGCCCAAACGGTGTAGGGGCAGTTGTTATGGACCTCAAATACACCGGAAGCATAAGTGTAAGTCACAAAGGCAAGAAGGAAGAACACTAAACAAGTTGTCAAGTGACTCATTTTAGTGGACATTTTAGTATAAGAAATTGTTGGATATATTTACATATCGAGCTAGGGGTTTATATAGTGGTATGGCGGCTTTTTTCACTATGGACATTAATCATATAAATATTGGCACTTGTTATAAAGGTAGAGCATATATATGTATAATGTACATATATATAGAAAATAAAAATAAAAATTGTAGCCAAAATATCTCCACTTGAAACAAAAAGCCGCCAATATAATCTGAATACAGCCTATTATAAGCAATATATATATTTCACTCCAGTCATATTTCACAGTTCAACTTTTTGCTACTTTGAAAATTTATCCATAACACATTATGATATTTATAATTAAGTGATATATATGTATTATTAGTTTTGTGTTTAACTATATATTAATTTTAAATTATTTAGTTTAGTATAAACAACAAATCGAAAAAATGCATAATGGAAAAACTAAAATTGTGGGAAGCTTCCTAATTTTTCCATATAAAACATTTACTATTTTTTTTCTTTTTTCGTTTCATACATGTGAGACTTGACATTGAACATTTTTCCATGAGAATTTAGTGGCAAAATAGTAATTTTTTAGTAGTGTATTTAACTTTATAATTACCTTAGTAGAGAATTCTCTTCATTTTTTATTGGCTCTGTTTTCATTAATAACATAACTTAATTTTTTTGAATTACTAATTTGTAATTTATTTACAGACAATTGCTTTTTCCCCTTGATTTGTTTTCCGTCCTATATATATAATGGATTTTTATATTTAATTATTTATAGCATATTTATCAAGTGGACATAACATAATAATTAATAGAAAATGTGCATGCATTCTACGGTCAAAAAAGTTGAGCAAATGGGGTTGGCGTAGAGGTGAGTGGAACCTTAAAAGTTTGAAATTTTATTTCGACACAAGCTATATAGAGAACTTGTTTCACACGAGAAAAAAGAACTTAAATTAGTTACGAACTTCGTTGTTAATCTATAGTTAAATAACGATGATTTTTGTTATTTAATTGCATAATTTGTCCGGTCCTGATTTTTGTTTTATATTAATGTTTTCCGATCTTCCTCGTTGTCATCATGGTCGTCTTTGTTGTTGGTTCCTAAGAGACTCTTGTGTTTAGATGAGATGATTATATATAATTTGAATTTAATTTCGGAGCATGCAAGAGTTTTTGAATTTGAGTTTGATCACACTATCTATCATCCATTTTAAAAGAGATAATAATATATTACAATTTACAAACAACATGAATATTAAAGAACTTTAATTCTTTTATTTTTAACAGCTTTAATTGAACTTTTAAAGTAATATTGCAAACATGATTTTTTAAGCAATAGGCTGAAACCACAATTGTATTTTTTTATAAAGAGAATTTGGAAATAATTAATTGTAATAAAAGATCAATTATATTATTCCACCTGGACAGCAATTATGAAGAAGAAAACGAATACGAATAGTCATGAAATTACTGTTTGATTGATCTCGTAATTATTGATGCCGTTTATAAAAATAAATAAAAGTCGATCAATATTCGAATAATGTTGAATTTCTTACCAAGGCGTTAAATCGGAGTTGAAAGTAAAAGCTCTCTTTGCTATTTCAAGTTATGAATTTACAGATAGGGACAACATCTTTTCAGAAAAATTAGGTCAAACGGGTAATTGATTGAAAGTCGTCTTTTTGTATCATTGTATATCGACTCATTCATTGATAAGTTTATCTTAATGTTCCGATCTTTAAGCTTTTTAATTAATATTGAATTTATTATATCTTTAAACTTATAAATTTAAATCTTAACATAGATTAAGATTTTAGAATGAATTTTCATATACTATAGTACACTTGAAAATGTTCCAAAAGCCGCCAATAAAAAAATATTTTCATCTGTTTGACTTTTTTATGACATGTGCTCCTGATTAGTTATAGGTATATTTTATCCCTACAATTTTATATTTTCAGATCTAGGTACTTTAGAATATTATCTAGACTATTTATTTATTTATTAAAATTAGAATTAAAAAAAGAAACAATACTCCAAATACACTCTTAATTGAAAATTAAAATATCATGTGTAAGACAAAGTACAATATATGATCGATCGATCCATAGATCATTATTCAGATCTTAGCCACTTCAAGCAAACAAATGTAAAAAGAAATGTGTAAAACAAATTAAAAACAATGTACAACTTCAATCAAATTTAACAAAAAAGAGATTGGCTCAACTCAAGATTCTACTTAATTAAGCCACTTCAAGAGTACTTGTAGGCATCTCCAATGGGAAATTTGTTGTTTCATTGTGAGTAGAGCCATAAGGACAAAACATAACCTTGTAGTCTGTACTCCAACTTTGGCAAGTAAATGTACTTGTTGGATCATCTTGAGGATAACTATAGGCATCGGGACATCTTTGTTTAAAAAACCTTGATAAATCGGTAGGACCACATGGACCTTGGGTGCAACAATATTGTTGTCCTCCGAATGTGGTGCATGGGTTGTTACATCCTCCGGGTACCCTAAGTGAACCAGGGCATTCACCGTTTATATTGGCAACACATTGAATTGGATGACATTTTCCCGGCCCAGGGTTAGTTGGGCCGAAAGACATAGGGATGTTGAATCCATCAATAACAGAAATATCCCAGAAATCTAAGTTGCTAAATTGATTCAAAGCGTACTCAGCTAAGGTGTTTGGTGGTTTACCCCATCCTTTGCATTCTAGGACTCCACCACAATCACCAGTCTCGCACCAACCTCTACCAGCACCATCGAAGTTGCAATTAGTACGACCCCAAATACGTGCCATTTTAGTACCCGGTGGGGCCCAAAACCACCAACTTTGACCTCTCTCGAGACGTCGGCCACCTCCTATGGGGGTGGCCGCCGCCCATACGGTGTATGGACAGTTGTTATGGACCTCAAATACGCCGGAAGCATTAGTGTAAGTCACAAAGGCAAGGAGGAAGAACACTAAACAAGTTGTCAAATGACTCATTTTAGAATAAGAAGAATATTTATTTGTTGGATATATTTACACAATTGAGTAGGGGTTTATATAGGGGTGTGGCGGCTTTTTGCAATATGGACAATATTACAAATATAGATATACATATATAAATAATTTTTAGAGATGTTTTTAAATAAGATAGATCTAGGCGGCTATAAGCATATACAATTATTATGTACAATGAACATATACAAAACCTAATAATTTTGTTTAGTGATAATATGTCCACTTGAGATAATAAGCCGCAGATAATATCCATTAAAAAAAATAAGGAATGCATGATATTTATATTATAATGCATATATTTAATATAAATTATAACATATAGTTGCACCCCTAGCATATATTCTTTTTCTCTCTTGTTCAAATATGCACGATCTTAAATTGTATGAAATTTTATTTTCCTATGTATATAGCTTTTCGTTTTGAAAATAATCGTTTGATCAATACTCTTCGTGATGAAAGAGGAGGCTGCATACAATAATAATAATAATGAGAGATATACACGAGTCCGAAGCCAAAAGGGCAAAAAAAATTATCAAAAATTTCAAAAGGGCACATCATTTTTTTTTTAACCAAAAGGGCAAAATCGCTCCTGACTGAGGGATTTTCTTCTGACAAAATTGACGCCGTTACTCCTTTAAAAAACAAAAATCGCTGCCCCAGCAGCGTTTTTCTCAAAAAAAAAATTAATTTTTTTTAAAAATAGAAATAGCTGCTATAGCAGCCATTTTCTTAAACAAGTTAAAAAAAAATTTATTAAAATTTCCCGAGGCGAGGACTGCTTAAAATAAATGGGAAATCGCTCCACGTGTAGCGATTTTAGTTTTAAAAAACTATTATTTTTTTAATAATCGCTGCCTTGGCAGCAATTTCAATAAAAAAATTTATTATTATTTTCAAATTGCTGCTAGCAATCAAAAAGTATACAATAAAAAATTATAAAGTAACTCAATTGGGAAAATATTTCTACTGAAATCTCTGCCTTGGCAGTGATTATTAAAAAAAAACATTTTAAACTAAAATCGCTACACGTGGAGCGATTTCCATTTTTTAAAAATAATTTCTGACAGAAAATTTACGCTGCCATAGCAGCTATTTAATTATTTTGAAAAACAAAATAGCTGCTGGGACAGCGATTTTTATGTTTTTTAAAGGAGTAACGACGTCAATTTTGTCAGAAGAAAATCGCTCCGTCAGGTGTGATTTTGCCCTTTTGGTTAAAAAATAAATTGATGTGCCCTTTTGAAATTTTTGACAATTTTTTTTTGCCCTTTTGACTTCGAACTCATATATACACATATATGATTATTTGACGCTGTTATTTAACTTTTTATCTTGTATATTCAATTATTTAAAAAAAATCTTCACACAAGAAATTGAAGTTCAATTCCTAGAAAATTATAGTCTTACCACGACTCATGCATGATGGATTATCAGGATTTAATTAAGGAAAAATCACACCATATACACATTTAAGGGACAATATTACAAGTTTTAAACACTCTTAAAAAATTCTTCCTTATAACAATTTATTTACGGGTTATAACATATAACTTAAATTTAACTTTATTTAAAAATCAATTACAGTTTTATTTAAAAATGATTAATCTCTTTATATTTTTATATTATTAATTATTAATAGCTAACTAATTTAATTGCAGTTCTTTTTTTAAAACCGAAATTATCAGTTACACGAATTTAGGGATTTACATTGATTAGACTTCCTTGTTTACCGTTACACTCCAAATATCTCATACACCAATCACAGTTCCCCGCCCACCCACGCCTATCAGTTTCTACACGCCACCACCCCACTACCCCATATTCACAATTTTCACTTCCATCTTCCTCACCACTCCACTACACCACATTCACAACCGTCCATCCAATCTTTCTCACAACCCCAATACCCTAACTCCACAATCGTCTCTCTCGTTACGTTTCTCGTCATCATCATGTCTAAGAAACACATTGAAATGCCTCGAAAGAGTGCCAGATCGGTTGAAGGAACTTCTATTGATGAAGTTCATGTTCCAACCTTCAATATATTAACTCAAACCCCCCCCCCCCCCTCCCCCGCCTAAAATTGCTGAAATTTCGGTGACGTGTGGTTCATCTCAGTTGAAAGATAAAAAAGAGAAAAAAAAATGAAGCAAAGAAAAGGGCGACTTCGGCAAATCAAAAGGGGAAGAAGAGGAAGGGGAAAATTGTTGAAACCCCTTCTGAATCTGATTCTGTTTTTGTTAGTGAAACAAAAAAGAAAAAAAACAACAAATGTAGAAGTTGCTTAATCTTCAAAACCAACAACAAGAAGTACAACAAAAAAGAAGGAATCAGAAATACCAACATCCAAAAAACACAAAAAAGTTGTTAGGGTAAGTACTTTATTTAATTTGTTTTCACATTAGACAAAATAGTGATTTTTTTATATCACATTATGCTTATTGTTGTTTTCGAAACATTTGTATGTGTGAAAATTGTTCGAAATATGAATAAAATGTGTATGGATATGAGGTTAATGTTTGATTGTTGGATTTTGTATGTATTTTGATACAATATTGGTATGCGAATGGTATGAATTGTGTATTAACATTGGTGGGATTGTCTATTAATTTTGTATATGGTATGAATTATTAAATTGATGTGAATAAAATTGTATGAATTGTTTAATTACTCTGTTTTGTATAAATTTAGAATAATATTAATATGAAATTGGGATTTTTCCTATTAAGAAGGTTTATTTTTCAATTTATCCATTAATGTATTAAAATTGTTAAATTATTGTTAGCGTAATTAGATAAATTTATGAAAATAGATTGATGAATGCAACAGTGCAAATGAAGCTGATATGATGTTTGAATAAAATTGGTGTGAATTTTATTTATAAATATGGCAGTACTAAAATTTATGTATATGCATGTGTATGAAACATGAATAATATTTGTATGAACATACTTTTATATTATTTTTTTATCAATGTTTATATGATTTTGATTTATTTTTTATTTAATTTATATGATATAATTTAATTATAACTATTTTTAAACTATAGTTTCTGCTGGAATGAAACTTGAATAACATTTGTATGAAATGTGTTTTAATTTAGTATAAACAAATAGTTCATTCCTCTCACACAAATCTATACATAACTGACAAAACTTATATAAACAATAACATTTCACATTTCATACCAACTTAAAACATTTTTAATACACTTATTCAAAATTCAAAATAACTTTTTTTACTAAGTAGTTAACACACTTTCATATCAACTTAAAACAACTGTCATACAATTCTTCAAAATTCTAAATAACCTTTTTTTTTCATTAGTGAATACACTTTCCTACCAAATTCATTACACTTACACTAACAAATTCATTCAAAACTATACATTTTAATTTATTTTTTCACGAAAAAAATCAGTAATCAATAATATTACAGAAACTTACCAAGAAAAAAATCAGTAATCAATAATATGGTAACACTAAACCACTACCAAAAAACAGAAACTTACCAAGAAAATCACTAATATTACAATTTCACAACAACTAATAAGTATTATGAACAAAACGTATTGTATATACAAAAAACATATCACATTCAATATAGTGACGATTTACAGTTTCACTTTTTTTATTTATTTCACTAAAATCCAAATAAAAATGGTAAACAATTAAAAATACTCACCTGAAGCAACCCATCTTCCTCCATGTTTAATTAATATTGATACGTAAGTTGTCTGTCACAAAAAAAAAAATCAATTTGTCGCCAGTGACAATTTCTGGAAGAAAATCGAAGAGAGAGAAACGTGAAAGAAAAATGGATAAAATCAGATTATTAAATTAATTTTAACAAATTGGAGTGAATTAAGGAAACTGAATATTCTTAATTAGTTTGAAATTCCTTAATTCATGCTAATTAATAATTATCTTAAATTAATTCAAATTTAATTGCTACCCCTATTTTCGTTTTTCTCATTTTTTCCTTCAGAAACGTTTTATTTTAATTTTTTTTTATCTTTTTATTCTTTTCAAATCAAATGTTTTTAATTATTAAAAATATTATTTTTTTTAATAATCTGTTACAACCTGAAATTTTTAATGTTATAACTTGAAAATCTAAATCTACTGCTATAACTCGAAAATATTAGTATAATATATGTCATATTAGAAATTTTCACTTTAATTAATACAAACAATTGAAGACTTGTGTAGTTGGGCACACATATATTGTCTTTTCTAAGTTGTGCACACGATAAAATTAAATTAATTAGTCAACTTTATGGCATTACATCAGTGAAAAATTATTTAAGTAGGTACAATGTTTAGAGTGGTAATTGTTAGATTAGTGAGTGATATTTAGGTTTTGATATCTTAATTATACTCCCATTTATATATCATAGAAATTTTCGCTGATTGTCCCTTTTTTAAGACCATATTTTAGTAAATGATTCTCTTTTTATTTGTCTTGTAATTTATGAATCTTTTAGACAATAATATAAAAATTTCTTTTGAAACAAACTGAAAAATCTTATTAAAAAAATGTTAGATCACATTCTAAAATTTGTTTGTTATATTTCTAAGATTTGTTTGTTATAAAAAATATATACGATCACAGGATATTTTTGGATTAAAGTATTAATGATAGTGATAATTTTGGACAAAAATATTGATAAGATGGTCATTTTTGAATCAATATTAACGGAAGACATTTGTTTAATTTCACATAGTTTAAAGATATTCTTTTTACCATTTCCCATTAAAATAAAAGTTAAAATGTCAAAAACACATTTAAACTATCTTTTTTTTAATTTCATGTATTGAAAAATTCGTCGTGGTTTTTTTTTTTTGCCAACGCGTTCTAACTCGACTAAATGTGTGTGTATACACGTAATACACACAACATCACATATTACTTGAAGTATGTTTCTCAAATTTATTATTGATAGTTTAAATATGTTTTTTATACTCATAAATCATTAGGTGTAAAACTATAAAAAAAAAAAATTAGGTATGTATCTGATAGTTCACTCATAAACAATGTAATTTTCTTTTTTCCTTTTTTGGTCTAAAATGTGGTTTTTGAATTTGACAGATCCATACTTCAACCCACCCGTCCGGTTCAAGTTACAGTCACCGGTCTAACCCCACCTAAAACCGGTCTCTTATTCACGTATAAATACACATCAGCTCAACATATTCTTCATCGAAAAAAAAAAAACCGATCTCTGTCCGAAAATTCGTGCGATTTTTCCTGGGAATCTGCGAGAGTTTGATTGAAAATGGTACGAGGAAAACTTGTAGTTCAACTTGTTGGAGCTAAAGGCCTTGAAAACACTGATTTTCTCAGTAAGTTTTTTTCTAATTTATTTGTTTTGATCTGATCAGTTTTAATGTATGGATCTCTTTTATTTCGATTGGATTTGATGTTTTCTTAATCAACCTAGTTTTCGATTGTTACTTATGTGATCAGAGGTTGATCTACATGTAATTTATGTGTTCACACAGCACCTGTTTGACTTAAGTAGATTTTGAAATTGAAACTTAAAAGAATTTATGTTTAACGAAATTGTGTTTGAACGTGCATTTAATTTAACTTGGAGAAGATTTGATTTTTTTTTATGAGTGGAAGTAAGTTTTGGTTAAGTAGAAAATATTTGAAGATCGGATCAAATTTCATGGTCAAACATATATTTGAAAGATGAATTTACTCTTAGAAGATATGGCCAAACGTTATTAGTGTATATTAATTTGACTTCGATGTAGAAATGTATAAACTTTAAATTTTGAATCAACGTATGTGATATACTAGTGACATTAACATAGGTCTATGCCTAGTCAAACTATGTCAAATAAAATAGAATCGGAGGAGCGATCAGTAAAAAATCAACATTCATCTTGGCCAATTTGATTGATACTCTGTATTTTTTCGATTTAAGAAATGTTATCTTGTGTGATACAGATGATATGGATCCATATGTGATCTTAACTTGTAGATCTCAGGAGAAAAAGAGCACTGTTGCATCAGGTACATTTGTCAATAATCTTAGGTTAATTTTTTCTTAATTATAGTTACATATATATCTTAAGAAAAATGAAATGAAGTTTTTGATCAATTAATATTTATGATGTTGTTAATTTCCATAGGGAAGGGATGTGAACCAGAATGGAATGAAACATTTGTTTTCTCCATTTCTGAGGGTGCTGAAGAACTCTTCTTGAAGATAATGGACAGTGATTCTATCGGTGAGGACGATTTTGTCGGGGAAGCTAAGTAAGTATTTCTATCTAATTAGAGACGAATCCAAGATTTATACGTGTTTTCTATATATATATAAACATAGTTTGAGTTTGATAGTGTGGTTGTACATGCATTTATGACTAATATATATTGAGATAATTAAGTAGACGTTTATTGCGGTCGAGAATTAGGGTAGAAGGTTAGTAGGTAGCTGAGCCTGAGTGTTGTTGCACTTGTTATTGGAGAGGACGAGGGCTAGCCTATTCTCTACTTCTCGTTGTTAGTAGTAGTATTTTGTATATCGCGAAGTTTCCTTTCTTTAATGATTATTATAATCTGTTGCTTCATTTGATTTGTATCCTGCTATTTTGTCGTCTTATTTCTTTGCACCCTGCTTTGAGTTTTTTTCTTTTCTTTTGAGTTGAGGCCCATCATAAACAACCTTCCTACCCCGCAAAGGTAGGGGTATGTTCAGCGTACATAGGATATCCTACCTTCCCAATACCTAACTTGTGTGATTACACTGAATATGTTTGTTATTATTGTTGTTTTTGTAGTATACATCTACTTTCTTGTAGTGTTATACAAACCATGGTCTAAATGGTTGAGGTTATTAGTTTATGGAGTCAAATAAACATTTACCTATCTGAGACGGACCTAAGATTTATACAATTTTTAGTATTGTTTTTGAACTATATATTCAATGGTATGATATCTGCAGGATACCAATTGAACCAGTTTTATCAGAAGGGAGCATCGAAATAACATGTTATAATGTTGTTAAAGATGAGGAATATTGTGGAGAAATTAAAGTTGGTCTCACCTTTACTCCTGAGGCAAGTTACTTTCTCAAAATTTATTGATTTATACAAAAAATGTATGCCTCAATCCCGATAAAGCAAATTTAGATCGACTATATGAATAAATGAACTCTAACATGCAAGTATAATTGGTATGCAATGTGCATGGTATCTTTTGCTATGTTTTGTAGGAATATTCTGAGAGGGAGCATGAAGAAGAGGAGAACCTTGGTGGATGGAAAGAGTCTTCTTATTGATGTGAAACATAACTCGATTGATCAATTTGTTCTTGTTTAGATTATGAACTTCCAAGTATTTATTCGTTCGTTATAACATTTCGGGTGTCAAAGTGTGGATTTCATATAGTAAAAAGAAAAAGAAACGGGCTATTTTGAGTCCAAATGTGCTTCCACTTTACAGCATGCAGTGGAATGAAAATGTTGGGATTTTCTTTTCATTATTCAAGTTAAATTTGATGATGCTTCTTTGCCATGATTTACAATTTATTTTATCATACACTGCAATTTAAGGTTTATTATGCAGAACCACAATATCAAGCTGTGAGATAACCAAGTCAAAGATCTTGAAATTATTGTGAAGAAATCATTCTTAACTTTGTCCATAACGCTCTTTATTTTTTCTCGTTTTCAAAACATATGATGGTGTTCGAGCCAACTCACCTTCGACTATTTCACCTAAAGAACAGATAGATGAGTTTTTTGTACCTGCTGGAATATGAACCTTGGTCTCAAAAAGTTGCAGACCACTGCACTCTATTTGAGTGCACTTCTGATCTTTTCATCAATAAGTAACCTGTTTGAAGAAGCATTTTTGGATGCATCCACAGTTGTAATGCTTTAACAGTCCAGTTATAGAGGCAGAGAGAAAACAGAGACGAATTTACGTGTTATAAAAGCTTAGAGATCCAACCTTAATTATGCAGAATACATATAGCAAACAATTGTCTTTTTGAAACAGATCATCTAAACTCCAACGGATTGTGGGATCTAAGCATTCCGAAAGTTAAAGCTCCATTTCGACCAGCTATCTGGTTCGAATAAACCAATTTTATCTGTCACCTCCAGACAATTGATGAAGCATCACCTGTGGTCAATCTTCAACCAATTATAGATACCCCAAACTCCAGAAACCGCATCAGAAAATGTTACCATCAGAGGATATAGCTGCATTCATCGTGTTATTAGTTGATCCATCAATACACCTAACACTTCTCTCTCTATGTGCTCTCATTCACCTGTGAGATTTAAATTTAGATTGATAGTCCTTTGCCTGGGGATTCAGACCTGGATTTTGAGAAACAACACTACCGCAACCTGGTATGCTGTTATTCCCATTGGGCAAAAAGGTCAAACCTGGATTTTGAGAAACAACACTACTGTGACCTGGTATGCTATTATTTCCAGTAGGCAAAAAGGTTTGATTTAGTGGCGGTTGCTCTTTGACAACGTGCTCCTCCGATGGAGCACAGTGGTTTGGAGCATCATTCAAGTAAAAACTGGAAGTGTTGAATAATGGCAGTTCAAAGCACCCATCATCAGCCTGGGTGTAGGAAGTATTGTATTCTTGATGGGTAGATCCCTGAAAGGCCAGGGTATCTTCTACTGGTAGTGCACCTGTAAGGGTCTTGAATGCAAATTCCATGCATGGGTCTGACCAATAGTCCCCAAATGGATAAGAAGCTAGTTGTGCATGCAATCTTCTGTTCTGTTCTTCTTGATTCTCAGTTACCAGCTCTCCTGTTTGCTTTTCTTTAACAGGCTGGCTTTCAACATTAAGATCCAGATTTCTGTGTGATGATTCAGGTAGTTGTGAATCTTGCCACTGCTGGTTTTCCACATTAAGATCCACACTTCTCTGTGATGGAGCTACTTGTGAATCTTGCCATTGTTGGTTTTCCATATTAAGATCCACAAATCTATGTGATGGAGCTAGTTGTACATCTTGCCATTGCTGGTTTTCCACATTAAGATCCACACTTCTCCATGATGGTTCAGCTAGTTGTGAATATTGCCATTGCTTGTACTCACCATTTCGTTTTTCACTGACCTGTTCTACGGTAGACCTTTCTGAGACAGACCGGTCCTCTGCAGGGAATACCCTTCTTCCTGATGCTGATTCAGCTAATTGAGAATTGTTCAATAATCTATTCTGACCGTCTTGTTCTTCTTTTGCCAGCTTTGCTGTAGGGCTTTCGTTAAGCGCATGCTGTTCCAAGTGAACCTTTCCTCTTTCATATGATATTCCAGCTGGCTGAGAATCTTGCAATATTCTCTCTTCATTTTGCTCATTAAACGCTTGTCCCTCTGAGAGACACTTCACAACTTTTAAAGGATCATTTCGTGATGAAGCTTTTCTGCTTAGAGAGGGCTGATCAGAATCACCAGTTGCTAGATCAGTTTGCTGGGCCGATTCCCCACCAGAGACATTGCCTGACGAGGCTGAATTGTTAACCACAGTTTGAAGAACACGTTCACCTAGATTTAAATCAGTCACCATTTCTGGGTTGTGGCGTGAAAGTCTCTTTGAGACACGACGAGCTGGAGTAGATGACTTACTATTTCTGAATTTTCTCAACCTTGCTGGCTGCTTTTCCTTCTCATTTTCTGGTAATTGCTGCTCTGGGAGGAAGTCCAACTGGGGGGAAACAACTAATGACCTTCTAACATCAACAGTTTCAGCAGCTGCAGGATTTGTGTCTCCAACTGAGTCTCTTATTTCTGGTTCCACGTCTAGTCTTATTTCAGTATCTTCATTTACATTTTCATATGAATGTTTTTCTGTTATATCAGCTACAATAGATGAAATACTGGTGTTGAGGTTGAACATACTGCTTTTAGAATGTTCACTGGAATTCTCAGCTTGCAGTGCCATTGCACAAGTAACAGAACACTTACTACCTGCATCAGCAACTCCCATTTCAGAATTGAGAATAACAATCAACATGTAGAGAATTCAGCAGGACATATATCAATGACAAGACTAAATTGGAGGAATTGAAATGACTGTCGATACTGAATAATGTTGTATCTCCAATCAGAATTGGAGTTTGAGCAAAATTCCCACTAAAATGCATCACCTTTTGATTCATCAGTGGCAGAAAGTTGTATTCTGGTCAAAGAGCACCTTAATTTCTTCGAACTGGTGTCATGTGTTGAGGGCTGACAAAAGAAAGAAGCTTTCAACCATCAGAACTTCCTCCCTTTCAAGATAAATCAACACACTTGTATTGAGAAAAGACCTCGCTGAACTCAAATCTTGTCATGAACAGTGAAATGCATAAAGGATTTGTGACAACAGTCCTCTATTGAACCAAATAAGGGCTAATCAAGAATTAAGTGAAGGACTTTCCAGATTATTTTGTCAGATAGGACCAGAAAGTAAAGACATGCAGTGAAATGTTAATTTAATGCAAAACGCCACACATAAAAGATTTTCCTCCTCGTTTAAGAACTCGCAAGGAAAAAAAAACTTGTGAAATGCTTCAAATGGTGGTTGAAATCTCGAAATCATTAAGGTATTGAGTCATTCTTCTAACTTTCCATTGCATCGTTTTGCAGCTATAGTTTATAAAGATATTCCTCATTTAATGAACTTATGAAAACAGGGATAAAGCTCAGAACTGTGGTCCAGATCTGGGTATTATAAGGTAAGAGTCATTCCTCTTACCCTTCTATGGCATAGTCTTTATCTGTAGTTTCGTATAAGCTATTCTTTTTACATATCTAATTCGAACAAAATGATGTGGAATTATTCTATTTGAACTTGGAGTTATTGCTTTCCAATATATCTTCTCTACGAGTATTCTCTAAAGCAGTTGCTCAGTCTCAGACCAAGCAAACCCGTTTAAGAAGAGATGCTTCAACACCTCCAATACATGAAACAAAGTTTTACACAAGACACCAACTTTACCACTGTTCTTACAGAAACAAATATATCTTCCTAGTAAAAGGTTCATACAAATACGACCAACAAGATTATTCCGCAAGCTGAAATCAGTAACATGGATAACAGGAGTTATCGAACATATAGCACAAATAGATTTGATGGGGAACACGGGTGGGAGATCCAGAAGGTGCAGACTTACAGAATTATCCTTCATTGTTGAACACGGATCCCTTTTGGTAGGCTTCACAGCACAACTTCTGATGTCTCCAGTTTGCAGATAGCGCATAACATCCTTTTTGGAACGAAATACATATCCATGCACTGGATCCGTGTAATACTGCAATGTCCAAGTAAACTTAAAATTCTCACTGCAAAATACTAATGCAGCATTCCATGTCTGCCACATAAGCAGCTATATAATCCTTCTCCAGAAGCACCCTTTCTCATGCATATATCCCATATCTGCATAAGATCATCTCCAACCAAACACCAAATTTTACACCAAATCCTATTTTGATGTAAAATTTGGTGTTTTAGTGCTCCAACCCAACACCAATTCTTACACTATTTTAGTGTGTGAATAGTGCTACACCAAATTTGGTGCAACACTATTCATCAACACCAAATCTCTTTTTGATTATTTTATAATTATTTGTACTATAAATTTTTTTTGAAAATATACATAATAATAAAAAATTGAAGAGAGAGAAGATTATAAAGAGTATATTCTTTTTTTGTGTAAAATTTAGTGTAGTGGGTTGGAGATGGTTTACACTAAAATAGTGTCAACACTATTTGTTATGGGTTGGAGATGCCCTAATGGTGTAAACCAGACTCTTTTTTTTATGAATTAGTATGTGTAAAATAGACTCTACTTGAGTAGGATGATGTGCATGAGAAAAGAAGGGAGAGAGAAGTGCACAGAGGGAGAGGGAAGACAGAAATGCTGAGGAAGAAAGAGAATACCGGGTCCTTTTTTATCACACGAGCATTTTTTCTCATTCTGAGTTCTGTTTTCCAGCCTGGTGGTAATCCATCCACTGAAGCTTCTTTGCTCAGAAAAGACTGATAAGAATTGCCAGTTCCTACTGTATGATCTTTTTGCTGGACAAGTAGTTCCTTTTCCCAGCCTGGAGGTATATCATCAAGTGAATTAAAATTGCCAGTTCCTACTGTCGGATATTTGTTCCAGGTAAGCATTTCCTTTTCCCAGCCGGGTGGCAATTCATCTGCTGAAGCTAATTCTCTGCTGAGAGAAACCTGATCAGAATTGCCAGTTCTTATTGCAGGATCTTTGTTGTAGGAAAGTATTTCCTTTTCCCAACCTGGGGGTATTTCATCCAGTGAGGCTTTTTCCCTGCTCAGAGAAGCTTGATCAGAATTGGTAGTCCCTACTATAGGATCTTTGTTCTGGGCAGGTATTTCATACTTCCATCCTGGGGGTATTTCATTCTCCCAACCTGGGGGTATTTCATCTGGTGAAAGTTTTCTGCTCAGAGAAGCCTGATCAGAATTGCCAGTTCCTACAGTAGAATATTTGTTCTGTCCAAGCATTTCCTTTTCCCAGCCTGGTGGTATTTCATCTAGTGCAGCTTTTCTTCTCAGAGAAGCCTGATCAGAATTGCCAGATCCTACTGTCGGATCTTTGTAATGGGTAAGTATTTCCTTTTCCAAGCCTGGTGATAATTCATCCCCTGAAGCTTTTCTGCTCAGAGAAGCCTGATCAGCATTGCCAGTTCCTACTGTCGGATCTTTGTTCTGGGCAAGTATTTCCTTTTCCAAGCCTGGTGATAATTCATCTCCTGAAGCTTCTTTGCTCAGAGAAGCTTGATCAGAATTGCCAGTTCCTACTGTTGGATCTTTGTTCTGGGAAAATATTTCCTTTTCCAAGCCTGGTGATAATCCATCCCCTGAAGCTTCTATCTTCTGAGAAGCCTGATCAGAATTGCCAGTTCCAACTGTCAGATCTTCATTCTGCGTAAGTATTTCCTTTTCCAAGTCTGGTGGAAATTCAAGGCCTGAAACTTCTCTTCTCAGAGGAGCCTGATCAGAATTGCCAGTTCCTACTGTAGGATCTTTATTCTGGGAAAATTCCTGACCAGAGACATTCAGGGGGATGCCCAAAGAAGCAGATTTCTTAACAACAGCTCGAAAAGCACGTTCACCTAGATCCAAATCAGCCACCGGTTCTGGGCTGTGGCCCACAAGTCTTTTTGAGATCCGTCGACCAGGTGTGAGTGGTTTCTTAGTTCTGGATCTTCTTGACTGCTCCGGTTTTTCTTTATTAATATGTTTTTCGTGCTCGTTTTCTAGTAATTGCTGCTCTGAGGGTAGATCTGACTGAGGGGTTGAGACAGCTGATAACCTTTTAATAGTGTTACTTTCAGCAGCTATGACTTTTGTGTCTGCACTTGAGTCTCTTATTTCTGGCTCTGTGTCTAGACTTATTTCAGCATTTTGAATTGAATGCTTCGCAATAATATCAGCTGCAGATGATGTAATAATAATGTTTGCATTGGACGCACTGCTTTCAGGCTGTTTCTTGGAACTCTCAGCTTGTACTTCTGGTGAACAAGTAACTGAACGTTTTCGACCTACATCAGCAATCCCAGTTTCAGAATTGAGAAAAAAATGTATATTTAAAAAGTTGATAAGACAAAATCAAGGAGAAAGATTAGAATGAAAGAATTGAAATGACTGCGGTTGATGACCCCAACATTTAGTCAAGTATATATCACCTCTAAAGGTTAGAATGTTAGGGAATATTAACTAAAGAAGTATCACCTCTGGATTCCTTAGCAGCAAAAGGTTGCCTTTCGGTTACAGAGCACCCTAATTTCTTCGAATTGGTGTCAACTGTTGTGGGCTACCAAAAGAGAGAATTTTCAACCGTTAGAGAATTCTCTTGTTCAAAGTAAATCAACATACATTAGTCCTGATTTCAAAGAATTAGCTTGTCAAAGTTGAAACTCATGACAAACAATGAAATACATAGTTTGTGATTACAGTCCCAATTAAAGGACTAGTCAAAACAAGGTGCGGAAATTTCAGGGTCATGCCAGAGAACATTAAGTATGCCTATGAATGATGGAGATCTCGGCTTTTTTAAGTCCAACTTCAAATCCCAGGGCTCAACCCTGGACAGGCAGTGGAAACTACCAAGCTGGACTACAGCAGGGGGGAAAGTTGGTAAATCAATCAGGAAAATCTGGAAAATGATCCATGCAAGCATTTCTGGTGTGTTTGTACAGAAAGGAACCACAGATGTGTTGATGGAATAGCAACTCCAAATCACTCCCTTATGGGTAGAAGTCTCATGTTTATTTAATTGGTGAATCTATCTCCTACAGATACCCCTACCTACACCTCTGACTATTTTTTGGACTTAGTTAGCTCCTTATCCTAAGAAAAGGACTACATGTAACGGAGTCAACAAACTCTCTTTTGTAATCAATATCTTTGTAAGCTTTGCATTTGCTTGATGCCATCAATGATACTACTTCATTAAAAAAAAAAAGATTATTCTATCATCATATAGTGTTAAGACATGCAGTGAAATGTTAATACAATAAAAGACATTCAACTTAAATTCTTTTCTAATGACAACATTCAACTTAAATTCTACACTTGGAATAGTTATATTTGATATGCAAAATACTTGATATAGAGATTTCCCCATTTAAAAAAACTTACAAGAGAAATGACAATGTCAATTTCCATGGATGGTGGTTCAGATTTGGGAACCATGAGGTATCGAGCCGTTCCTTTTTAACCTTCTATATCATTATAACTAGAATTTATAATGATTATTTTTCTCATTTAAAAGATCTTACAAGAAAAGATCATTGATAACGTTCATTGTTCAAACTGAAAACAGAAGGTGCAGTAACATAGAAAAAAGAAGTTATCCAACAAATAGAAATAACAGAGGGGTGTGTGTGTGTGTTTTGTGGTGGGGGGGAATCAGGAATGTGATGACTTACAGAACTCTCCTTCATTGTAGCATCTAGATCCCTTTTGACAGGTCTTATAGCACAACTACTGATGTCTCCAGTTTGTAGATAGCGGAAAACATCCTTCTTGGAGCGAAATACATAGCCATCCACTGGATCAATGTATAACTGCAATAACCAAGTCAATTTAAGATCCGCACTAAAATCTTTGAATGTAAATCTACTTGTGCAGCATTCTTCACATAAGCAGCTCCTACTCCTGCTAACATAACACAGCCTTTCTCATGTATAACCTGCCACGGCATAATGATGCGAAATAGACTGCTGGAATAGGATGATGTGCATACAAGAAGAGAGAGAGTGTACCGGGTCTTTTCTTATCCCATTAGCTTTTTTAGTAATTTTGATTTCTTTTTTCCAGCCTGGGGGTAAATCATCCAATGAAGGGTCTCCATTCAAAGAAGCCTGATCAGAGTTGCCAGTTTCTGGTGTAGGATCGGAGTCCTGGAGCAATTCCTGGCTGCAGGCATTCACGGAGAGGCTCAGAGAGGCAGATTTATCAACTACAGCTGGAAGAGCACGTTCACCAAGATCCAAATCAGCCGCCGCTTCTATATTTTGACCTGCAAGTCTTTTGGAGACCCGACGACCAAGGTTAAGTGACTCTGTTTTTCTGGATTTTTTTGACTGCTGTGTTTCTTTAGAACTATGCTTTTCCTGCTCATTTTCTAGTAGTTGCTTCTCCGAGAGGAGATCCGACTCAGTGGAAACAGCTAATTGCTGTTTAACACCAACACTTACAGTTTTGATTTCAGCATCTTCAACTACATTTTCAAAGGAATGATTCTCATTTATCTCAGCTAAAATGGATGTGATGATGGCATTAGGATCAGACACAATGCAGTCGGGCTGTTTCTTTGAACTCTCAACTTGCTGTGCAGGTGAGCAAGTACCAAAAAATTTTCCCCCTACATCAGTAACCCCAGTTTCACAATTGAGAAACAATTACCAACATCTAGAGAGAGAGCAGGTAAACATATTGATAAAGAAAAATAAAATGAAGGGAATTGAAATGACTAGAACAAATGACCAGACGCTGAATAAACGATGCACATCCTCACAGATAGGGACTACAGAGCAATATTTCCAACTACAGATTATCACCTTTCGACTCGTCAGTGGAAAAAAGCTGTCTTCCTGTCGTAAAGCCTCCTAATTTCTTCAAGCTGGCATCATCTGTCGTGGGCTATCAAGAGAAATAAATTTATAAACATCAGAGATCCCTCCCATTCAGGGTAAATCAACATCCACTAGTCTTGATAATAAGCAAACTAAGCTCATAAACTACAATTTTTTTCAAAAACTATGTCTACAAAAGATTAAGACCAATTACAGTCCTTCATGAAACCAAAATAAGGCTAGTCAAGAACAAGGAGGAAGAATTTCAAGATCGACCAGTTAGACAGAAAGAATATACCCATATATGCGAAATGTTAATATGGTGAAACGTCATTCAACTTTGATTTTTTATTATTATTTTTTTTTGACAAAGGTAATAATTTTGTATATAAATCTTCAGCACTAAAGCTGGGATCCCAAAAATTTACATCACAAAGCTACATACAACTGAGTAGGCTCAGCAACCCAAAAAAAAGCCCTATCCCAGGTCCTATTTCATCTTACAAGGATCATAGAATGTCTACAATTGCTACAGGATCATCTATATACTCAGAACTACACCAATAGCAAAAAGTGATATTGCAGTTCATTTTAATCTTATGCAAAGGACTACTGATACTTTCAAAACATCTTGAATTGCTCTCGTTCCAAATGGTCTACCATATCACTGCTGGGACAATTTTCCATCTGTTTTTGTCTGTGCTACCACTCCCTTCATTGTTCTAGCTTACTAGAGCCTGACCTGCCCTTTCTGGTATAGTTCATCTTATGCCTCTGAAACTAACAGGTTCCATAGCTGGCTAACCACTTTACAATGTAAAAACAGATGGTCGATTATCTCTGCCTTTTGCTCACAAAAAAAACACCTTGGAGACATTTGGATGCCCTTCTTCCATTCAACTTCGATTTTACACTTGAATGATTATATTTGATATGCAATATCAGACAAGATTCCTCCTCATTCAATGGACTTACAAGGAAAAAGATAATAAATAGCATTTGCATGGTGGTTCAGATCTAGAATCAAAAGGTATTGAGCCATTCCTTTGCCATCCACCAAACAGTCGCTAGCTAAATTTCTTGCAAGTTATTGAGCTTGTTTGGATTAGCAGATTGTAGATAGTTGATAAGCTTTAAGTGCTGGAAAGCATTTTTAAGTGCTGAAGGAATTTTTTTAAATAAACGTGTTTGGATAGAAGTGTTGAAACAGATAATAAACAGCTCATGTGTTTGGTAAAAAAGTGTTGATAAGATGGTCTTTTGTTAAAATGACTAAAATATCCATAACATTTTTACAAAAAATCAACAACAACAAACCCATTGTAGTCTCATAAACGGGGTCTGGGGAGGGTAGAGTGTACGCAGACACTACCCCTACCTCGAGGAGGTAGAGAGGCTGTTTTCAGAAGACCCTCTACCTCAAATATATTTCATATATTAAAAAATATTTTTGTAAGGGAAAGGACGAACGACAAATATAGAGTGGAGAGTAAGTTAGAGCTTTGTTTGTAAAAGGTACTTAGTGAATTAGAAAATATATCAAGGATAAAATCATAAAACTTTAGTCAAACCAAAAGTACTTACAAATTGAAAAGCCATAAGTTGGGAACGAGCAACTTACAATTTTTGGTTAATTTTGGAAGGCTTATAAACACTTTGACTGCTATCTAACGCATAAATGAGCCAAAAGGTGCTTACAAGCCAGGTTAACTAGTTTATAAGATAAGCCGAATGCCCTCGTTGTCTACACATCTTTCACATTGCATAATAAGATGTGAAATTATTCTCTTTAAACTTGGATTTTTCAAGTGCGACTAAAATTTCACAACTTCAATGAGCCTGCCTGCTTTAGAAGGCACTAAATACACTACTCTTACAGGATGAAATGTGTTTTCCTACTAAAGGGTTGAGACTGGTGCATCTCACTGAAGGCAACATTACAAACATGACCAACAAGGTTCTGTATGCAAGCTGAACACTTAAATGAATAAAACAAGTTCAAATAACAGCAGTGATGGGTAGAGGGAGGGGGGATCCAGAAAGATGTGACTTACAGAATCATCCTTTGTAGTTGAAGCTACATTCCTTTTTGCAGGTCTTCTAGCACACCTACTAGCATCTCCAGTTTGTAGATAGCGCAAAACTTCCTTTTTGGAGTGAAATTTATATCCATGTACTGGATCCGTGTAGAGCTGCAATGACCAAGTTGACATAAAATTCTCAACTTTGAATATATATCTACTGTCACAGCATTCCACGTCAATCCCACAAGGAGTCCCCTAACCCTGTTTCCATAGCACCCTTTCTCATGCATGCTAAAATACTGCATAAAGGTGCAAAACAGAACGTCCCCCTTAAACAGATTATACTTGTATATACAATATGGGTTGTGCAAAGGTTAGCACCATATCCACTTTAATTTACCCAAATTGTCCATACTATCTCATTAAAAAAGGGACGTTTATTTTAACCAAAAAAGTTGAAGTCTCTTCTCCCCAACCCCACTCCTCCACAATCTTTTCCCAGCTCCCTACTGCTTCAATGGAATTCCTGTTACGGCTTTGATTAGTTTCTAGAATTTCAATCAGCACATCCAAGATTGATCATGGAAGGGATAATGAACCCATTTTAGCACAAGTGAGGTGGTCTTTGTGGAGACGAAATGAGTAAATGAGATGGGTTTCTTTCAATTGGGAAAAGTCTGTTGGAGTTGAAGATGAACAATAAATACCTTGGTAGACAATATTTCAAAAAAAATTAGCTTTGTTATGAAAAGATGCACATATTCTAAATTCGTATGGTTTCAACAAATCCTTTCTAACTTCCCCTTTCCTATTGATGAACAAAACTAAAATTACTCGAACCATAGAACAATTCCCTTTTTATATTGGGAAAATGAAAAGTGGGTATGGTGCTAAGTACTACATTCATGTAGTAGGTTCGCAAAATCCTGTATACACACACACACACATAGATGATAGATAGTAAGAGAGGGGGGGGGGCTGAGGAAAAAAGAGAAATACCAGGTATTCCCTTGTTCCACGATCATTTTGTCTACTTTCTTTTTTCCAGCCAGGGGGTAATTCATCTGCTGAATCGCAGTCAACTGCAACCTAAATGTTACTACAAAAATTAGCAACCCGTAGTGAATAGAACAGCTATAGATCATATCTATCAGAAGCATCTGAGGTATTACAGAAGAAACACTCTTTGCTGACAGACAACCACTGCCAGGTTTCTGTCTTTTGGATTGGGGACTTTGTGCCCCATTTTCTTTGGAACCCAGAGATGTTTTCTCATTTAAAATGAAGTCCTCTCCAGCACCATGCTGAAACAATAACATTATTACATGAGAATACTAGTAACATCTCAAGGCTATACCAATTGAATTGCTTTCAACAGCAATTTAGATATTACTAGAGAATCAGCAAAACTCTAGTTAATTAAAGAATCAACTTTTTTCAGAGGTATCTTAAGTATATTACAGAAGGAGAAGTCTTTGTAGTCCTGGTAATGCCAGATTTCTTCCTTTTGGTTGTGCAACTCTGTTCCCCAACTTCTTCAAAATCCTGAGATGCTTTCAGCTTGGAAAATGACCCCTCCTCAATGCCAGGCTGAGAAAAAACATAATAAGACGAGAATAAGTTGCAGTTCTTAAATGCTACACCCAGTGAATTGCTTTCAACCTATGTTGCTCGGACTCTTCAAAAATGTCAACGGGTGCGTGTCGGATTCGCCAAAAGTAGTGTATTTTTGGAGAATCCGAGACGGGTGCGGCAACAAAAATGGAGAGTCCGCGCAACTAAGGTTTCAACTGCCACCTATATGTTACTAGATAAATCGGTAACCCATGGTGAACTACACAGCTAACAATCAAATCTGTAAGCAGTGTCTTTTTTTGAGAAGGAAATCTGTAAGTAGTATCATAAGTACATTACAGAACAAATAGTCTTTACCGAGGCCTGGTCGGTGTCAGATTTCAGCCTTTTGGATTTGCGAGTCTGAGCCCCACCCCTGATATTTTTGGAATCCTCTGATCTTTTCTGATTTGAAGAAGATACTTCACCATCTCCATGCTGACACAAAAACATAATTACACATGAAGATGCTGTAGGAACCCAACAACAACAACAAAAATACCCAGGGTAGGTAAGAGGTCTGGGCTCACAAGTCGGATCTGGTGAAGGTTTTTTCAGATTGACCCTCGGCTCAAGTAAAGCATTTTAAATTCTCTTCTACAAGGAATGTGGAAAATATGCAATAACCCAAGGCAACAAAAGCTACCATCAAATTCTTTTCTGGAACTTGCCTCCTCCATCAAACTTTTACCTACTCAAGTACTATTTCCTATAAGGAATGTCCAAAACATGAGTCAGGCTGCCCAAAGATAGATTTTTTTCATTTCAAACTAGTTACAAATGCATGGTGCAACTCTTTTTAGTACTTTTGTCATTTCCAACGTGCCACTGCCAAAATAAATACAAGCAACTTCCCCTTTCTCTTAAAGATCCTTAGAAACAGAGTAGTCATTATTAGAATTACACAGATCAAGATACCAATAAAGAGATCAAATCTCATCCAAAGTACTTCCGTTTCTTTATTTTTGTTTTGACTGCACCACCTTTAATATGTGGCTCCATATGACTTCTCCAAAAAATTAGGGAAAAATAATAAACAGATTTTATCATGGTGAGAAAGTTAAAAGGGAGAGAGCCTACTATCTGTCCTTCTCCCGCGATGTTGTTCTGCTTCATAGTTTTGAGATATTTAGAAACTTCAGGTTTTGAATAAAATTTGCTTCCAGTTGATGGATCAATGTAAACCTGAAAGAACAGCAAAAGAAATAAGAATGTAAACTAAAGATGAGGTATGATTGGAGCATTTTATCGGCAAAGTAGCAACACTCCTGCTCTAAAGGCTATGCTTCTTCCAGATAAGTCGCAAACTAGGACAACTGCTGCTTAGTGTTGCAGCAAAAGAACTGTTACACAGAAAAGGGGACTACAGCCAAGCTACCAGACGCCCCTAAAGAAGTTTCTTAGGAATACTTGGTTGAAGTTCCTATGACAAAAAGAACTCAAAATTTGTATAATTGAAGTTAAATCATGAAGCTTCTTCAATTTGAGTTTTCTCTACAGTATTTCCCTAATTATCAAACCCTGTAAAAATGCAGCAGATCACTGAATCAGGAGTTGGCCGGATGATTAAACTGGTCTGAGGTTTTGATACACATACAGGACCAAATTTGATTTTGCTAAAACACATTATATTGCTATTAACAATGTTCTAAAATACTACTCCCTCTGTCCCAATTTATGTGGCACCACTTGACTTGGCACAAAGTTCAAGAAAGATATGTAGACTTTTGAAATTTGTGGTACAAAACAAACCTTAGACATTTTTTGTGAAAAAAATATCACTTGTATGTCTAAAATTTTAAAGTAAAGTTACAACTCATGTCATCAAGGTCAAGAAGAAAATTTTAAAGTTAAGTTATTTCTAATTATAGATATGTGGTACTGACTTAAAAAAAGGGTGTCACATAAATTGGGACAAAGGGAGAGCATTTTTATGAAGCTCATAGGGTATTTTACCCTCTTATGTGTGGGGGCCAATGGCCATTTACACCGTTGTTAGCAAATCCTCATGTTCATGTGTGTATTTTTTACGATGAAATCCTCATTTTTTTCCCTTGACCCTAATAGAGGAGCTCCAATCTGAAGTATAAGGAAGGGTAATTTTAACCCTAGTCAAAAGCAGAGTAAATTTGACCATTTTCCAGAAGTATTTTGGCATGTGGAATCCACCCAGCCCATGCTGGAGTGTCCTTAAAATCAAGGGCAAAAACAAGACATGTTGTTAGTGGTAAAGGTATCAGGTATGAATTGCTCCAAAGTATAACCGAGAGTACAATAAAGATCTTTTTTTATATAAGGAAAATAATTGTGAAAAAAATGAGTAAATGCCAAATTTAACCCTCTATTTTGTATGTAGAGGGGTAAATTTGGACTTTTTCTCTATATTATAAACCTTATATAACTAGTCCGTGCACCACTCAACCCCTAGAATCTGCATGCTCATCATTACCTCAAGTAACAAATACTATTGGAATTTTGTGTTTGAGATAAACTACCAGAAGGACCAAAACCAGCATATGATCATTTGTATGCAACAGTCTTTGTCATCTACATGGAATTTGAGTGAACACAGTTATCAGTTTTTTTTAAGCATGGAGTCATGGAAAAAGACATGCTGATACAACACCAAAATTGACACAATGCTGATCTAACCGAAGGTCTCACTAAAGTCAAAATAAGAGACGCACATTATAACAAATCATCGCCACAAGCATTTCAGAGGTCGGTATATTTCCATTTTCATACCTTGTAAGGTGTACCAGCATGTGAGCCAGACTTACGAGTCTTTAATTCAACTATCCACCCTGGAGGTAACCATTCATGAGAATTATTTGGTCTCCCAACAGCCTGACAATAACATGAGACAGACCTTAGAAGATAAGAATCACAAAGCAAAAATGTAGAACGTAAGAGTTACTTTACCTTCAAAACTCACCTCGCTAACATTGTTCCCAGAGCAACTCTTATCTAGATTATCCATTTGACTAACATTGTCCTTGGAGAAGCTCTCATCTTGATTATCCATATGACAAACATTGTTCTCAGAGCAGTTCTTACCTTGAATAGTCATTGCTTGAGTTACATCATCGCAAGAATCTTTTGTGTTCAAGTACCGAGCGATTTCCTTCTTGGAATAAAACTTTTTCCCAGTCTCCCCATTTGTATAGTACTGAAAAGATAAATGAAAACAATATGTGATGCAAGCCATATAAGCAGAAAGACTATGCGCTTTCTTACATGGCATCATTTAACAGTGGTCGATTCTCTATTCCACAGGTGACAACCTTTTATAGTGCAAATTCTAATGTTACAACTCCCCACTAGTGGGATTCCACTGGGAATGTTGTTGTTGTATTCTAATGTTACAGCATCACTGCATACATCAACATTAGCCAAGACAAGACGGGAACACAATTACATGAAGTATTCCAAAGAGAAGTTCTTTATGAAACTCATCGAGAAAGAGTTCAAGGACTGAGGAAACTTTTAAGGCAAAGTAGGGGTTTTGTACAACTAGAGGTTCTCTACCCCTTGCACTTACTGCTACACCTTTACTCTGACATATAACTTCCTAACCAAACTAAAACAATTCTGGCCTTAATACAGACTAGTTGATATGCGTATATGAATCCTTTTCTTCCATGTTTTAGCTATGTCCACACGGGTTCTGAGACACCATTGCTGTATTCACCTCATAAACTTAGTTTTACAAAAGAACAAAAGAAATTGAATCCCACTTTGCCCACCTAAAGCTGCAACACTAAAAGCTATAAAGCAGAAAAATGACTTAAAACTCTGTATTTGCAATGCAGAGCAGAACAATACTCAAGTTACACAACTGATAAATCATTCAATAAAAAAGAGTAATATCAAGACTCTACATGCAAGTAGTTTGCCAAGTTGATCTCACACTAAAACAATTACAAAGCTGATATCCCAAATGAGAACAACCCCATCTAAAAGCACCATAAACCCATCTGAATTTAACTACATAATTGTCTTATTATCAACTTCAAATCGAAATTCCTTAACCTTACCTCAAAAAATGAATGAACTTTATATCGAATTCGAAGAAATGACAACGAAATTGAGCTACATAGCTGTCCCAGCATATCAGCCGATGCTCAAAAACGAATAGTAAAAAACAAAAACAACAATATCCGAATTTCCGATAACCCCGTAAAAAATTACCGCAAACCCATTTGGATTTATACACAATATCCCCAAAAAAAACACAATAACAGCAACAATATCCTAATTTTTTACATATACGTGTTCGTATTTAACCACAAAATAGACTAATTACGTACTTAAAAGATTAATCAAAGTAGAAGAAATGATGAGTAAATTTTAGCTCAATAAGTCCAATTTCGACCTTGATTTTTCTTCCGTTTGATACTTTGACATCCTCTTTCCATCCCGGAGGAGGCCAATCCGGCGAATCTACGACGGCCATCTCGCCGGAATCTGACGATTTCAGGTGAAACGGCACACTTGAACTGATGGATTTTGTCTTAGTGTGAGAGGGTCAATAAGCTCCCGTGAAAAGACTATAATATGGAAAGGTTATGTTAGGCAATTACGAGTGGAAAAACACGTGGCAAAAATATATTCTTTAAATTTACTAAAAATAAATAAATTATTTTATATAAATCTAAAAAAATAAAAAATCATCAACACAAATTTTATTTTAATTTTTGTGTCTAGTATTGATATTAATGGAAATTTAAAACTATTTAGATATACATATGCACACAGTGTAAATAGGGAAATTTTCATTTCATATCAATAACCATACTAAATTTTCTTACCAATCTTTAAATTATGTTTTCTCACAAATAATTTGTCTAATTTTGTGTGGCATGTTTGTTAAATAAGAAAAGAAAGATGAAAAAGATCATGTTTTGATAATACTTCAAAAATGAGAAAAGTTTTACTCCCATTTGAAAATAATGTTATGATTCGAAGAATTAAGTTTTATTTCCTTGTTAGTTTATAATTTGTAATTTTTTTAAAATTAATTAACTTTTTTATGATTTTCAAATACATATTGGTTCTCAATATTTTTTAAAACAATGCTCGAAGTCTTTCATGAACTAAGACTCAAAACTCCAATCACTATAGTTAATGCAGTATATATTTAGTTCACGATATTTTTAAAATGTTTGTATTAAATTATGCATCAATTTATATATTATTTTATATATGATAGAATGTACAATGAAACTATATAATATTAATAATGTGAAAATCAAGCTATTTAAATACGAAATTCCCATTTAAAGTATCACCCACCAACTTTGTTAATTAAAACAAAAAAAATCACCAACTTTCTATAAATACGATAATCTCAAAGTTAAACATCGAAGATTCACATTCAATTTATCAATTACCCTCTTTGAAATTAAACCATATGAAGAATAACCATTGTTTCTTGCCAAAAAAAAAAAAAAAAAAACAGAAATGATAACATTTTTTTATTTTGTAGAATGTTACTACATGTAACATATTGTTATGTATCTAAAGAGAAGTACGTCTTCGTCTAACTACAAAGGGAATGAACCATTAATAATTGCACAAATTAATCAGAGAGGGAAGCACCATTAATATCGACCACGGAGGGGAAGAATTATTTCTCAAATAATTACGCAAGGGATGAGTATAGTAAATCATAAAGATAATAAAAAAATAATAAAGATTCAATTATCTCAGTGAAGATAGAATTATTCGCGCAGAATTCTTCCTATAATGGGGTGCTAGCAGCTCACAAAGGTATTTCTCGTCACAAGTATTCAGTTTGGAATTACTTGTTAAGTACAATTGTATATATATTTTCTCTTATGTTGCATTTCTCTTTTTTTGCTCATCTTTGAGAGGACATATATATGCTATAGTTGATAATCTTCTAAGCCTTCACTCTCATGTTGATCTTAAGTAAGTTATTTTATGTATAATGGTTGTTACAACATACTTAAAAGTTGTATTGTTTGAATAGTCAAATTCAACAAAAAAAATATTGTTGCATTCGTATTGAATTCTTTAAAAATATAATACTTTTGGAGGATTCGACATGTATTTGTCTGACATTTTTTGAAAAAATTTCAACAACATAATCTAAAAGTTGTGATAAAATTACAATAGAAAAATGGACAATCAGATGAGTCAAATGTACATTGTTATTTTCAAATTTGAGAATAACACAATATTTTTTTTTATCGATCCTTAGTTTTGTGGTAAAACAACTTCACCTCACTATCCTTTTGGAATTGAGGTGGTTATATTGTTGTCGTGAAAAAAGAAGTAGTGAAAGTTACAGATTTACAGGAATTTAATACTTTTGTCCAAAATTTGTATAGGTATTAAAATAAATTTTCACCAAGATAAAGAAAAGAAGGAGCAAAAAATTAGAGCTCATGTACACATTATCTCATCTTTTAAAGATGATGTACGTGACGACCCAATCGTTCACTATTTGTGCAAGTAAATTTCATTGCTCTTGTGCACCAGCCGGGAATTGAACCCGGGTCTATATTGTGGCAAGACTATTCTACCACTAGACCACTAGTGCTACTTGTTTATAGTTTCTCATTATATTTATATTGTACTGTATTGAATTTATCTTTTTTCGACAATCAACTTGCTTACGACAGTGAGATCTATACTACTTGTATTAATTAAGAGTAAAGACATAAAGACACAATCAAAGTTGTCACATATTTGCATTAAGACACCTTAACTTTCAAAGTGTCCTATCACCCCACAAAACTATTTAATATAGTTGTAAATGGGCCATTTTGACCCATTTCCTCGTCTGGATTGTTACCACGCACATGCGGCGCGTCATTCTGTGTTTTCACTGCCATGGACCAATTTAAAAGTGCCACATGTCATTTTCTTTCTTTATTATTAATTATTTTATCAATTTATGTCATCTTCCCCAATTCTAAACCCAAAATAGCCGTTGATAGCCCTAATTTTTCGATTTCATGGTTTTTTTTCCATAGCAAGATCAACGTTGGTTCTCTCTGTTTGACAACTTTATCATCTTTCCCAAGAAAATAAGGTAGGAATTCGTTTTATCTTTTAATTTCCAGTATAAAACGTTAATTTGAAGTTTTTTATGGTTTAATTTCTTCTGAATTTTTGTTCACCAACAACAAAACATGATCGGGAAACAAAACCCGACCCTCAATTTGTAAATGCAATAAGGAACTACTACCAAAATCTTGAAATGATTGTGAAGTAGACAATAAATCAGAAGAAGACGACAATAAAGACAATCTTGAAACAACTAAAACAAGGTCGAAAAACAGAGGAACTAAAAGGAATCTGATAAGAAAGAAGGAAAAGAAAAAAAAAACTAAAACATAAAACAAAAGACCTTACAGAGAAGAAATAAATTTAGAAGAAGAAAAGGAAAAGGAAAGTTGAGAAATAAGAAAAGAAAAGGAAAAGCGACTTTCTTCAAAGAACAGGGTCAGGTCGGGTTGAATTCTATCATAGGGAGTGAGCAACACGCGCGACTACATAGACGAGGGAATGGGTCAAAATGGCTCATTTATAAAGATATTAAATAGTTTTGTGGGGTAATAGGACACTTTGAAAGTTAAGGTATTTTTATGCAAATACGGGACAACTTTGATGGTATATTTATGTCTTTTCTCTATTAATTAATAAATTTGTTTGCATCTTTCAATTGTATCATATTCACTGTTTAATACTAAAATGAATGCAAGATATGTCTTTTATACATATGTTTATCATGACTTACTAAAGTTATTATACATGATATATATTCTCAATTCAACTTTTGAATATTAAAATTAAATTATTTGATTTGATATAAACAAAATCCGATACGAGAAAAGTCAAATCTAATCTCTACTTCCATTTTTTTTAGCAACTTGAACCTTTTTCTTTGATTTCTCATCCAGTATTTGGTACCTATATTGAAGTTTGACTAAATTTGAATTCGCATTGAAAAATCCAATATTTAAGGGTAAAATGCTACCTAAGGGCATCTCCAACCCAAACACCAAATTTGGTGTCAACACTATTTTTTGTATAATTAACTCCAACCCACTGCATCAAATTTTACACCAAAAAAGAATATTTTTTTCCCTCTTCATTATTATATTAATATTTTTTATTTCATTTATATTTTCTTATTTCATAAAACAAATTCTTTCGAAAACATTCACCATATATAATTCATAGTATTTCCTTTTATAATTGTTTAATATAAAATTATTTTGTACCATAATTTTTAAATAATATATCCAATTATAATTTATAGTAGAATTAACATAAATTTAATTTTAAAAAAAATTCATATATAGAATTTTTTTTTATAAAAAAGCTAAATTTTATATCTAAAATTAATATTATAAAAATATTACATAAAAAATAATTAAATATACAAGAGATTTAATTAAAACATACAATTTATATAATGTTTAATTAAAAATTTGTATAATGAAATAATATTAAAATATTCAAAAAGTGAATTGGTGTGATGAATAGTGTTACATCAAATTTGGTGTAACACTATTCACACACCAAATTTGATGTAAAAATTGGTGCGAGTTGGAGCTCAAAACACCAAATTTAGGATCTAATATAAAATTTGATATTGAATTGGAGATGATCTAACAAAGGTGACTACTTAATACCAAGAGCACTCGATCACAAGACCTCTTGAACCTTAAGAGGTATCTCCAACTTCCATTTTATCCAATCAGCAAACATGACTTTTAGTAGCTTAGGTCTATCTTAGAAGAAGTGTGTATTGTGAATAAAGTCAACAATAATATTTGAACTTTAAATTACGAGTGGAGAAACACGTGGCAAAAATATATTCTTTAAATTTACTAAAAAAAAATTATATATATATATATCTAAAAAAAAAAATCATCAATACAAATTTTAATTTTAAATTTTGTGTCTAATATTGATATTAATGGAAATTTAAAATTATTTAGATATACATTTGCTCACAGTCTAAATAGGGAAATTTTCATTTCATATCAATAACAATAGACTGTCCATAGTTGTTGCAAATTAAATTTGGTTGACTGGATTTTCTTACCAACTTTGAAATTATGATTTGTCACATATAGTTTGTCTAAATTTTTGTGGTGTGTTTGTTAAACAAGAAAAAAAATGAAAAAAATATATATGTTTAGATAGTACTTCAAATAAGAAAAGTCTTTACTCCCATTTGAAATTATTGTTATTATTCAAAGAATTAAACTTTATTTCCTTGGAAGGTAGTTTGTAAATAATTAAATTAATTTACTTTTTTTTTTATGATTTTTCAAATACATATTGGTTCTCAATTTTTTTTAAAACGATGCTCGAAGTCATAATTTCATGAATTAAGAATCAAACTCCAATCATTATAGTTGTGCATAAGATAATGCATCATTTAATGGCCGTAGAAGGAAAAAAATAATGGTCATATAATTAATGCAGTATTTGGTGTGCGATATTTTAAAATATTTGTATTAAGTTATACGTCAATTTATATATGATTGTATGCATAATAGACGGTACAATGAATACTATATAGTATTAACAATATGTGAATCAAGTTATTTAAATACAACATTCCCATTTAAAGTATTATCCATCAACTTTGTTATTTAAAATTGAAAAAATCCACCAACATTCTATAAATAAGATGATTCCAAAGTTAAATATTGAAGATTCACATTCAATTTATCAATTTCCCTCTTTGAAATTAAACCATATATCAAGAATAACCATGGCTTCTTGCCAAAAAAATTAAATAGAAATGACAATTTTTAAAATTTTTTTATAGAATGTTACTACATATAACATATTGTTATGTATCCAAAGAAAAGTACGTCTTCGTCTAACTACAAAGGGAATGAACCATAATCAGAGAGGAAAGCACAATTAATATCGACCACGGAGGGGAAAAACTATTTCTTAAATAATTGCATAAGGGGTAAGTATCGCAAATCATAAAGTTATAAAAAATCGTAATAGAGATTCAATTATCTTAGTGAAGATTGAATTATTCGCGCAAAATTCTTCCTATGAAGGTGCTAGCAACTCACAAAGGCATCTCGCTCATAACAAATAGTCAATTTGAAACTTGTTAAGTACTATTATCTATATTTTCTCTTATGTTGCATTTCCTCTTTTTTATTCATCTTTGAGAGGACATATATAGGCTACAACTGATAATCTTCTAAGTCTTCATTCTCATGTTGATCTTGAATAAGTTATTTTATCTATAAGAGAAAAGACATAAAGTCACCATTGAAGTTGTTTGAATTTTTAAAAAGACACCTTAACTTTGCGAGTGTCCTATTACCCCAGGAAACTATCTAAATCAACAATAAATATACTTTTTTGACTAATTTTAACACCACTCGTGTTGTCACGAAATATGGGTGCGTGAAGGACTCTTGATACAGCTTTAGACCAACTTAAAATTGTCATGTGACACTCCTAATTTGACTTATTTTGAAGAAAAAAAATATAAAAATCATGTATTGATTTTTTTTTAACTTTATTAGGAATAATTTTTAATTTTTCAATTTTTTTTTCTCATCTTCCTTACCATCATTAGCTTCCCATATTTCTTGAGCATCCATAACTTCCTTCATTTTTTTTTCTTTTTCTCTTTTTCTTTTTTGGTCTTTGTTTTTTTAAAACTAATGTTATTGTGTTCATTCTTATTCTTTTCTTTTTTTTTGAAAAACAAATTAGTTTAGTGATTTTTTTTCTCCTACAAACCAAGATTGGGATTTGGGAGTAGTTAAACTATGATAAACTTGATTTAGGAGTAAGAAGTTGGAGAAGGTGGTGATTTAAATGTCAGATTTTGACTTGGTGATATTTTGAGTATTTAGATTTTGATTATTTGACGGTGTTTATTTTCATAAATAAATTAATTGGTGATAGTTTGAAATAATTGGTAGTGCTGCTGCAAAATCCGCCCCGCCACAACGGGTTTGATGAATGTTGCAGCGGGAAGAGAATGGCAGAAGAACAGAGTTGGGGAGAAGAAGAAAGACAAAAAGAAAAATAAGAAAAAGAAAAGCAAAGAAATCATATAAAAATATTTAAAAATTATTTTTAACACGTGGAAAGTGACTATTGAGTCGTTTGGTTTGAATATTCAAGTTATGATGGGATAAGTTATGATGAGATAAATTATGATGAAATTAATTATGATGGAATAATTTATGCTAAGATTATTTTTTATTGAGTGTTTGGTTTGTTGTATTCAAAATAATAAATCTTAAAAACAACATATAAGTTTACAAAAATACCCTTCATGGATGTGCAAAGTAATGTATAAAAAGTGTTTAAAGGGACATTTTTGTCATTTAGTCATTTTGTCCCGGGATTACTATACCACCCATGGGAAGGGATAACTTAGCCCGGACTTGCCAACCAAACAACAAATTAAGTGGCACTATAATTTAATCCCAGGACTATTTTAAGTTATCCTTCACACCAAACGACCTCTTAGTGTGTAACATACAAATATTTTTGTATAAGTGGTATTGGGTGAAAAATGGGGTATACATACTATTTTGAAATTGTTCAATGAGGTAATAGGACACCCGTAAAGTTCAGGTATCTTTTTGAAAATTCAGGACAACTTCAGAGGTGACTTTATGTATTTTCTCTATCTATAATGGTTATTATGACGTACTTAAAAGTTGTATATTGCTTGAATAATCAAATTCAACAAAAAGATATTGTTACATTCGTGTTGAGTTCTTTAAAAATATAGTACTTTTGAAGGATTCGACATGTATTTGTCTGACATTTTTTGAAAAATCTTAACAACATAATCTAAAAGGTTGTGATAAAAACTGAAAAATGGACAATCAGATGATTCAAATGTACATTGTTATTTTCAAATTTGAGAATAACACAATATATTTTTTTATCGATCCTTAATTTTGTGATAAAAAAAACCTCACTTCACTATCCTTTTGGGACTGGGGAGTAACTGTTATTATTGTTATCGTGAGAAAAAGAGTCAAAGTTACCAATTTACCGGAATTCAATACTTTTGTCCAAAATTTTACTTAAAATAAACTTTCACCAAGATAAAAGAAAAAAGGAGTAAAAAATTAGAGCTCAGATACACATTATCTCATCTTATAAATCAGATGTATGTGACAACCCAATCGTTCACACTTTGTGCAAGTAAACGTCATTGCTCTCAAATGCACCAGTCGGGAATCGAACACGGGTCTGTACCGTGGCAGACTACTATTCTACCACTAGACCACTGGTGCTACTTGTTTATACTCTCACATTATATTTATATTGTATTGTGTTTATCTTTTTTCAACAATAAACTTGCTTACAACAACAATATATTTAAATGAAATCTCACAAAGTGAAATCTAGACTACTCATATTAATTAAACTTGTTTGCATCTTTCAATTGTGTGTTTATACTAAAATGAATGCAAGATGTCTTTCATACATATGTTTATCATGATTTACTAAAGTTATTATACATGATGTATATTCTCAATTCACACTTTTGAATATTAAAATTAAATTATTTGACTTGATATAAACAGAATCTGATACGAGAAAAGTCAAATCTAATCTCCACTTCCATTTTTTCAACAACTTGAACCCTTTATTTTTATTTCTCATCCAGTGTTCGATACCTATATTGAAATCCGACTAAATTTAAATTTGCATAAGAAAATTCAATATTTAAGGGTAAAATATTATCTCACAAAGGTGACTACTTCATACTAAGGATACTCAAACACAAGACCTCTCGAACCTTAAGAGGTGTCTCCAACTTCCATTTTATCTAATCAGCAAACATGACTTTTAGTAGCTTACGTGTTAGGTCTATCTTTGAAGAAGTGTGTATTGTGAATAAAGTCAACAATAATATTTGAACTTTAATTAATTATAGTATACTTTAAACTTCAGTTTCTTGCTTAGCTTGAACATCTTGTGGGGAAGCAAAATGAGATACTATAGTCTCATATTCTACAATTCTTCCTTGCCAAATTATATCATGACTAAAGGTGTGCCTTTGGTAGAAAGTAAATGTTTTTTTCACAAAAAAACATTTTTTTTAAAAAATAAGTTATTTTTTTATAATTATTTATTTGCTAGTATTTTATAAGTAAGTGATTTTTTTATTTATTTTAAGAGCATTTATAACTTAGAGTGAGAGTTCGAGGGGATGGGATGGTCGTCAAGGGTTACGTTGAGGGTGGGAAGCATTGGATATGTGGAAATGAGATGATGAATTTGAAATATCACTTATGAAACTTGGTTAGTTGGTTTCTTTAATTACGTATGTCTGTTTTTGTAATGACCCGGACCTGGAAAATCATTTTTTTCGATAATTTTGAATAGTCATTTAACTATAGTTAATTAATTTACAGGTAATTTAATTATTTTTAATAATAATGGGTCAAATATGAAATATTAAAATATGTTAGTAGGGTTTAACATTTTTAGTCCACAATTTGAGAGAGGAAAAGAAAAGAATTGTACGAGAGAGGCGTAGAGGCACAGTTAGCGTCGCAAGAAAAATAGTTCGTGCTTCAGGTAAACCTCAAGTCTAATTCTTATTGTAAGTAGTTTTCTAAGATAGGGGTATACATTAGTATAATAATATCCTCCTTGTTGGAATGTCGTTTAGTGATTGTTGTTTGGAAAGATTGTGGCCAGAGATAATGGCAATTATATTATATTTAATAAGTATTTAATGATTCAATTTAATTTTTTTTATAAGTTTTTGGTTAATATAAGCAAGTTACTGCGTATTGGCTCATTAATGAGTTACTGTGTTCATGATCCTTTTAATATTATAATGTTTATTACATTAGACATTAAATAATCCAACTCACATGACAGTTTTAGTTTTCTGTCAAATTAAGTTGGGACAAGTTAGTGATATATATATATATATATATATATATATATGAAGGGTTGATGATGACGTGATCATTGGAAAAAAAAGTATGTTTTTTTTTACGAAATTAGTTAATGGCTGCATATTTCTTCGTAGACTTGAATAGTACTGGTTCGTTGTTAAAGGACACTGGTTATATATTAAATTTTGGTTTAAGAATTATTTTTGAGGTTATCATAATAAGACTCAAGTTTGATATATTGAGATATGTTATTAAATATTGGGTGTAGTATATTATATGAAAGCTATTAGGGTGGTAGTGTTTGGAGAAATTATGACTTAACCGTAGACTTGAAATTTGGAAATATGAGAGTTGACATGTTAGTTGGCACCAAGCTATAAGAACTTGATTTTAGGTTTGGGTGAGCTCTTGGGTCTAGTTGGACATAGAGTAATATGAATATTGTTAATTTCGAAATCTTATTATGGTTATTTATTTGAATAGATTGTATTGATTTGGAAGCTCAACGAAAAGGGAAGGCTCAAGTCTAGGAGTGATTGTTCGGTTATTTGAGGCAAGTGGATTTCTAAACCCTTGTTAAGCGTGTGGAATTCGTGTATTTCCTTGTGGTGTATGTTTGGGAGTAATGTGATCAATTGTTTGTGTAATGTGTTGAGAATTGTTTGAAAGACTTGTTGAATCATCGTTGAAGTTGTGATTTGTGCAATGTTATGAAAATGGTCATCTCCTCATTGTTTGTGTGAACATGTCATTTGCATTGTTCTGAGACGTGGTTGTGACAAGTGTTATGTGCATTGAAAAAGAATAAGAAATTAAAGAGGATGTACCATTTCGAGGGACGTATCGCGCGCCGCGATGGATACTATATTTTGAGGGACGTGTCGCGCGCCGCGACGGATATTATATTTCGAGGGACGTATCGCGCGCCGCGATGGATGCATGGACAGATATGTCCCCCATGGGTCCCGGACTGAGAGACAGCGGGTGTGTATCATTAGGTCAGACATGCATCACTATAATTGACATTGCATTGCACATTTTTATTATGAATTAACTTGATCTTGTGTGTTGTTGATCTTGTGAGTGCCTTTCTGTGAAACTATTGATGAATATTGAGTTGTTATTGAGAATATATGATCTGTTAGAGTGCTATTGTTGAGCTGTATGCTTTGTAAACTGTGAATTGTTAGGTTGGGCTGGTTTTATGCAGGTTGTAGTTATGGAGGTTAGGATGGGGTGTAAGGAGTACCCGTATTCTGTACCCTTAGCTTGTGTTTAGAGGTTTGCTTGTTGAGTACCGTGTGGTTTGGTACTCACCCCTTGCTTCTACAATCTTTTGTAGGTTACGAGCCCGGATCTTCGTGATACCTTCCATTCTCTTCGTTTCCGAGGCTTTCTGTGGAGATCTGAGAGGTAGCTGTTTGTCATCTCAGCGAACCTCCTTACTCCTGTTTATGATTTTGTTTTTACTTGAAAGACAACATCATTTGAGACTTGCGTATTTTATTTCAATTCTAGTATTTACATTAGAGGCTTGTGCACGTGACAACCAGGTTTTGGGGATTGAATTAAGTTGACTTGTTTTCGTAATAGTAATTGCTATTGAACTTTGTTTTATTTCCGCACTTTATCGAAATGATTGGGTTTTAGGCTGACTTGTCTTGGTGGGATACGACGAGTGCCATCACATCCATTTTTGGGTCATGACAGTTTTCTCGCTTTCAAGAAACTTGTTTTTCTTTAATATTTTGACCAACAAAATATGAAAAAAAATTAAAAAAACGTTTTTTTAAAAAAATATTTTCTAGAACACACACCTAAGGCTCGATAGGAATAATAACTTGTTATAACCAATTAGTTTAATTTGATAGGGTCGAAGAAGTCCTTTTGTAGACGCATGCATGATGATCATATTGTATTATTAATTTGAGTGTTTCTCATGGAAGACTAAGTACTCATAGAAGTCACTTATTGTTGCTTCAAAATACATATTAAACTACTAATCACTTCACATCACAATTAATTAATTGTCATATTATTGAAGTCGACACCAAATACTTCCAAAAAGAGTTGTTTTTTACTATGCCCAAATGAAATAATATATATATATATATATATATAGCCTATAGGGAGGAGGATTAACAACTCATGTAACCATGCACAAATAATGTTCTTTTTTTTCTTTAATAATAGTAATATCCAAATTAATTTGTGTACAACTCAACTATTATATTTAATACCTATAAATTTTCACTATTACAAATCTAAATAATCATGTCATATGTAATCAGAGTCACTTCCGAATATATTTTAATATTATAATTTTTTTGACCGTCCAAAGGAATTACATATGAAAAAGAACAAATTATATATATACAACCTTTTTATAATTTTATAATAGTCGCATTCAGTCAATTTATATGCCCTCAGCTATTTCGTCTATACATTTTTTTCCTTTCTTTTAAATCCAAATTTGAACTTTAAGTTTCATGATTTTATTTATTTTATTGATCGTTAAAACATTTATCGATGTGATTCTTTTATGTTCAGAATATCAAAATATTAAATCACATGATACTTGTTGATGATCTTTTACTAGAGAGGTTTTTTATCATCTTCTCTTCTTTATAATATATATAATTTAATCTAATGTGGATTATATTACTTTATAAGTACTCTTTAGTCTTTATATCCATGAGAAAACTAGCTGGTTTTGCCCACCATTATAAATGGTTTGTACTACTTTAAAATTATTAAATTAAGCACTATGCTTTGAATAGAGACTAATAAACAATAATTTGCTACTTAATTTGTCTACGGGCAAACCTACTTAATTGTCTATGAGTTGACTTTTTTTACATCACTTGCAATTTTCGTACTAAAAAATATATTTCACATTTTTTTAATTTTTTTTTTTTTACTTAACACTTATTAAGTCGGTGGCTGATCTAAGTATTGATTGGTTGGTAGTTCTATTCAAAAACTGGTTTAATTTTTGGCATGTTTTCACACTATTATCTCACTATACTTTGATTGCATAATTTATATATTGAAATTTTATGAGCGATGATGTAGCTCTTCAACTACTACTATTTGTTGGACGATATCTATGACGCCAGAGCATAAGAGTTTATTGTAAACAATCTTAGCGTTTATATATTTATAAGAGGTTGTTTTCAAAGCTCAAATGTGGGATCTTCTGATCACATGATAATAACTTTACCAGTTACTTCAGTTTTCACGTTTTGTATGCAATTAAAAACTTAAAAAACAAGAGAAAGAAAGAAGATGGAGAAGAAAATGTAATTCAATCAATTTGAAGTACTATATCATGACTTTCCTAGTATACATCTTTGATTTCCATGTACAATACAAAGATTATGAAAAAAAATGTATAATATCAAACTTAGCTACAAAAAAGAACTTGAGAATTTGGTGAAACATTAAGAAGTCAACACCAATTGATCACAAAAGGCCACCTAAGAGTTTTACCTAACGATCAATAAAGTCGATGAACACCTTAAAAGATCAGCGCTCAAATTTCAATAGAGACAAAAAAAAGTTTAATAATTTCCTTCTTACATGCTAAATCTTGATGAACAGAGCTATCAGTACAAGAAGTGAACGTAAGCTGACTAGAACATGATGATTAATTGTGAAGTGGATTTGGTCCTCCGGGAACGGTTCGATGAGATACTCTATAACTCTTGTCTATATCTTCATTTCTTGATTTTTTTGGAGATGGTGCAGAGTTATTCCATGAAATTGTTGAATTCAATCTTTGCTCTATGCTTGTTGGAGTAATTTCTTGAATTTTTCTACAACTTGATAATTGACTAATGAAGAGTATAATTACCAATATTAGCAGAAATTGAAAAGAAGGATATTGAATTTTCATGATGATTATATGATGAAGAAATATTAGGGAAAATATGGACAGAGAGGGAAATAAGTAGGTGATCTAATTTTGAGTTTTTTTAGAACTTTTGTTGAATGGTGACAAGTCTTTATATTAATATGTGTTTTAATTTAAAGAACTTGTGGTGCAGATAAGAACCAGAAAAAACTAATATTGTCTGGTATAAAATGACATATATACCCTCATAATATTTCCAACTTTTCAATTCTCAAATAGTTTATGAGAAGTTTTTTTGTTTTGTTTTGTTTAAGCATTTGATATTCAAAGTCAACTAACTCGATTATGAGAAAAACTTAAAGAACTCTACCTTTATGAAAGGTATAGTCGATTAAGGGACCGATAATAAAAAATAATGTGCTTTGATTGATATCATATTAATAAAAAATGTAAAATTTCGATGAAAATTTATGATAAATTTCATTGAATATTAACGTATCAAGAACATTTTCGATAATTATTTTCATCAAATATCTCATATTTCTGACAAAATCGTCCATCGAAAATTTATATTTATTTTATTTAATACTAAAAAAAGGTTTGAAAGGGCAAAATAGTCATTAAATGAAGATAGATATTAGCAGAGTGAAATGTGAATAAAGATGTTGCTTAGAGGTTATGAAGAGCTGACAAAAATTTGGTGGGTTGTGTAGGCATTTATTTGCCCATTCATTAATTTTGTTGAGTAGTATCTTTTATTTAAATAAAAAAAATAATTAAACAGTGTTAATATTAATTGGTTGGTTGGACTTTAATGAAAGTTTTTTCAGGAGCCCATCCTTATAGGCATGTGGTGCAAGTGCAAACCCAGCAATTGTCTCATGTTCTTGCCGTTCTCGATTTCTATGGTTCACTTTTAATTGTTCATTTATATTTATTAAAAATTAATTTAATATTAAAAAAACAAATATAAAAACAAGTAAAAGTATTATCTTTTTAGTATAATACAACAGGAATGATTAAACTAATTATTTGATTAATCGGATCATTACGATTTCAAATTCAAAATGATTAAATTGAATATTTTTTCTCATAATTTTCAAAACATTTAAGTATAAAAAATTAATTCAAGAGGACTTTTGTTTCTAACATGACGTAGGCCATTGGTTTTGGGTCCTCTGGGACCTTGTCCATATTCAACTTATTAAATGATATGGTGGTTTCTAGAGGGCACATAAATTCATTGAAATATAATAAACTTTTAATTATTCCACAAAATTAAGGTAAAGAAAATCTCCTGCAAACTGCAAAGTTCCCATGAAACTTAAATTCATTGAAATAATAAACTTCCAATAATTCAGAAGTCTTGATGGTAGAGATTTTCTTGATTTTTTTATGGTGCGAGTTACGACTTTAAGAATTATCTATTTTCTTTTTATTCATCGAATTTTGACACGCTCATACCTACAACGACTAGACGATTACTCCCTACACACCATTAAACATCACTATTTAACACTTGGGTTCGTCCTATACAAGAACTACAACCCAATTAATGTCAAGAAAATATCCTACAATGTTCCCTTGAAACTTCAAGTGTGGAGATTTTAAATAAGCAAGTATGGAAATTAATACAAAATAATTTGAATATATTTGATCCTTATGTTCATTTTTACTTGTCCACTATTTCAATTTTTTTTTTTCATTTTTACTTATGGTCATTTTTAACATATTCAAAGAAAAGACAATTAATTTTCTATATTGTTTACCCTTAACATTAATATTATACATCAATCAATAGAGACAGTATGATAATATGCCAAATACAAATATGACAAGTAAAAGTAAATAAACAGACCAACATTTCTAATTCATATTGTCAACATTAAACACTGAAAATTACATCAATGTTTATCACCAGGTCCTCCATAAACAATCAAATGACCAAGTACATCTCCTTGATCTATAAAATCTTGAACTTTATATAAATTTGTGCTACTCTCAAATTGATTTGTGCCAATATGATCTAAAGAGTATGTTACAACTTTATTATCCACAACATACATAAAAGTGCACTTTCTAAAATATGCATTTTCTAGTAAATTTTTATTTGGAAAAAGTCCACTACCCATTGGAGGGAAAGGTAATCCTTGTGGACTATATGTTATACCTCCATATTGAGCACTTAATGCATGAGCTTGTAATGTTGTAAAAATACTTTTAGGCCAAAATCCCACTTGTTTGTAGTCCTCTCCTAGCATAACCCACCAATTTCCACTTGTTGTATCCTATAGTCAATATTGATAGCAAATATATATAGTAAGATAATGAGAAAAATTCGTAAATAACGTTATCAACGTCAAGTTTTGCAGAAAATAGTGAGATTTTGCTATATTTTGAAACGTAGAAGCATTATGATTATTTTAAAATGTAGCAGAACACATAAACACGCACACAAATCAATAGTGTAAATCGATATCATAAAATACATTTATATATTGACAACAAATAAATGTAGTAAGATAATGAGAAAATTTCGTAAATAACATTATTAGCGTCAATTTTTGTAAAAAAAATAGTGAAATTTTGCTATATTTTGAAACGTAGAAGCACTTTGATTTCAAAATGTAGCAGAACACATAAACCCGTACACACAAACCAATAGTGCAAATTGATCATAAAATACATTTATTGACAACAAATAAATGTAGTAAGATAATGAGAAAATTTCGTAAATAGCATTACTAACGTCAAATTTTGCAAAAATCATGAGATTTTGCTATATTTTGAAATGTAGAAACACTTTGATTTCAAAATGTAGCAAAACACATAAACCCGCACACAAATCAATAGTGCAAATCGTTCATAAAATACATTTATTGACAACAAATAATTATAGTTAGATAATGAGAAAATTTTGTAATTAGCGTTATCAGCGTTAATTTTTTTTTTAAAAAAAGCAAAATTTTGCTATATTTTGAAACGTAAAAGCACGTTAATTTCAAAACGTAGCAGAACACATAAATATGAATTACCTGTTCAAGATACATTAGTTGTGAACTCACAGGTCCACCAATTCTTGAAGGTACAAGTGGCATTCCTAAAGGTATACCTGTGTTTACTAGGACAAAGCCAGAACATAATGTATTAAAGCAACCTGCACTTCCAGCCTATAATAATATATAACCAAAAAAAACATTTAATTATAATTAGTAAACATTAAAGTCTCTTACAAAGCTTTAATTAATTGATCATACAAATTAAATTTTGTTCATAATTACCTCAAATTTTGCATAAAGTCTTGGCTTATTGTCACCATTTAGACTAGGATGCACCTTCATTAAGTTTAGCAATAATATAAATAACAAATATTAACTTAAAAATCAAATGGAGTTTGTCCTAATTTTAAATAAAACTTAACTTAGAAAAAAAATTGAAAAACATTTCATCAAAAATCCCTTATTGATGAGCCAAATTTCGACAGAAGGTCCAGCAAAAATTAACACTTTTCTCGATATTATATAAATTTCTACACAATCAAGTTTATAAGATGACTTCTAACAACATATAACTGTCGATGCTATATGTATTCTTTTAAACACTATCAGTGCATAAAATGATATATATATATTGATGATATACAAATTTCTACACCATCAGATTTATAAGATGACTTGTAACAACATATAACCATTGATAATATATGTATTCTTTTCAAATATTGTTAGTGCATAAAATGATATATGTATAACCGTCGATGATATACAAATTTATACACCATCAAATTTATAAGATGACTTGTAACAACATATAACCGTGGATGATATATGTATTCTTTTCAAACATTGTCAGTGCATAAAATGATATATGTATAACCGTCGATGATATACAAATTATACACTATCAGGTTTATAAGATGACTTATAACAATAGATAATCATTAATGATATATGTATTCTTTTCAAATACTGACAGTGTATAAAAGTTAAATGCGTTTTGTTTTATAAGAAGTAGAAGTGAGCTTACAATCCAGCCAACTTCAATGGCATCACTTAGTCCAGCTTCAAGCCTCACGCGAGCTCCACTAAACTGATCTTTTTGAACATTAATTGGTGCATGTATAGTAGTAATCATGCCACCTCCAAGTATTATATTTCTATCAGAACTTGGAATTTGTGTTTCTGCATACTAAAATCAATAAAAAAAAATCCCAAAAATAAGAATTTATATGCAAATGATTCAAAGTGGACACTTGACAATTTTTATTCAGTGCATATCTTAACTTTATTTTGGTCTAATTACCCTAATTGAACTTGACGAGGTTATCAAATTTCCATGTTCAAGGTAAACTATGTGAACATAAAGTTTAGATGTGCACTGAATAAACGTTGTGAAGTTTAGAGGGTATGAATCTATTCTGGCAAAAACAAAAAAAAGGGGAGGGGGGGGGGGGGTCAATACACACCTGGTAAGGATTTACATCATCTAGGGAAATTGAGGCCTTAGAATTGGTTATGTTGTTTCCCTGCATGAAGTACAAGTACACATTATTATGTTAGAGATTCAAAACTAGAAATTTTTTGAAGGGAGAGGTATTATATTAAAAAATAAATCATTTTTATGTATTGACGATGTAAAAATGTTACATATTTGTATGATTAATTCGATAAAAATTCCCTATAGCGTTATAAAAATAATCATGTAAATAGTGCTCGATTAGAAGACGTTGCTCTTTCTTTTTGTATTTCTTTGTCCTTTCGACTTACATGACCATTACGATGACTTTTGTCCATGCATTGCATATGTTGGTGTCGAATGAGATCCTCTTTAGTAACTCTTTTAATAGGAACAGTTCCACTAGGACATCCATCGCCTTCCAACCCAATCTTTGAAGGTCTTTCAAAGATCGAAGCCTTTGCATCTATTCTTGATTTGGATAAAGTAGGTTTCATCTGCATCAAATTAAAATACACATATTTTTGTCATAAAAATACTAAAATTGAATATAGAAGTATATAATACAAACATACCTTTGAATGAAAATCATGATTCTGTAATAGTGGATGGTCAAAAGCAGGTTGCTTATAAAAATCTACGCAGTCATATACATCTCCATTATTGGTCTACAATCAACCAAAAAAATGAATTTATTTTTTTCCTTTTTTTTTAATAAATAATTTTGATATGCTTCAAATATTATGATATATATCACCTTTATAGTCTTGATAGCTGGTTTATTTATAAGCTTTAATTGCCTCTCCAATTCTAAATCTTCAACCTCAGATAGGCTTTGTCTTGCTTCAATTTTGGCATAGCTCAACAATAGTGAAATTGCAACAACAATTTGTAATATCTACAATTTGAGAAATAATAATTTAGCAACATTATGTTAAATTTTTTGCCTTATGTTAAATTTTTGGTCTAATAATATAAATCCAGCTTTGCCGTTAGAAAAAAAGTCTCGTTTGCCCTTGATCCCTAATGGAGTTTCAACAAGAGGATAATTTTATACTATAGTCGAAAGGTAAAGGGTAAATTTGTATTTTATTTCTCAAAAAAATTGGGCACATGTAGACCCATTTCATGGTGAAGCGTTCCTCAATATAATGGCAAAGGTTAAACACGAAACGATTTGCTATTATCAAAAGTATGAATAAACCAGAAGTATAACGTAATAATATTGAACGATTTTAGATTTAAAAAAACTTAAGAAAATGAATTTATGAAAAGTTACCTGATTTGACATGATGGTGTTGAAATTTGATGCAAAATGAAAATACATGTGAAATACAACATATATATAGATTTATTATACTAGTAGAAGATGAGAGAGTATTTATTTGAATAGCGTAAAAGTCAAAGTCAAATGTTACAATTAATTTTCTATATTATTATTTTGGATTTCTTATAAAGGAGATTTTTTTAAAGTATTCCAATAATTGTGGGAATATGATATTACTCCTTCCCTCTATTTTTTTTTTTTTTGTCACCTTTTCATTTTCCAGAGTCAAACAATATGAATTTTTACTAACATTTGAAGATATATATTTTTCATCATACTGATATGAAAAAAGTTGCAATTTATAGTACTTTTCGTATAGTGTTTGAATATCTAAAATTTTATTTTAAAATAACGAATGAATATGTAATCTAATTTAGCTTTGAAAGTTAGTCAAATTGACTTTAAAAAAGCACAACATGACAACAAAAAAGTAATGAATGGAGTATATTTTTGTGGTCATGATCTGTTCTATGATGCGGAAGGTTAATAATTAATTTCTGTAAATGAATTAATTTTTTACTTTGAAAAATTAGGTGCCTTTTTAAATTTTATATGTTCATAATCTGAAATTATCTTTAAAAACCATTTCCATTTTAGCAATAACAGTGTTTAATTGTTGATCCCCATATATCTCGAGAAAACATCAATCTCCTTCCCTCCTGAGTACGTTCACGATAAAATGACTGAACTTCACTTATACGTCACTTTAGACACTATATATCTAAAATTATTTCAAAGTAAATAGACTTGCAAATTTTTACATACGCCAAGCAAGTATGACTTAAATTATAATCCCAAAAATAATTACATATGTTATATATGTTCACCTGGTCCTCCATATAACACTAAATTACCAGATTTAGCCCCAGAATTTGGATAATCAGTAACCCTATACATATTTGGACTATTTGCAAATAATTTCACTACAATGTTATCTAAAGATTTAGTTTCATTTTTATTAGTTAAGTAGGTACTCTTACTACAATATCCATCTTTTTTCATATCTCCAACTGGAGAATAGCCACCACCCATCGAAGGTTCTGATACACCTGGTGGACTATATATACACGACTCCTCCAAATTCAGCACTTGTTGCAAATCCATTTAGCTTTGTAAATATCTTTGATGGCCAAAATCCAACTAATGTATAGTTTGGTCCCATTTTAAACCACCAATTTCCATTTGACATGTCCTATATTATAACCAAAAAGAAGAAAAAAAAAGTTAAGTTTCATTAGGACTCGATACAATATTTGAAGTTTATGAATTCCTAATATGATCACGTAAGTTCATATCAAACAAAAGTATTGGATTTACAATTAAATATTTATAGATATTAAGTAGATTTTTAAAAATATAGATACAAAATTTGAACAAAAGCTAATGATTCTGTAACGTCCCAGTCTGCTAGTGATATTGTCCACTCTAGGCCTAGGCCCACATGACTTTAAAATGCATCACTAGTTGGTAAGACCTACTTACTTATATACCCAACATCTTTCTTGTGTTTTTGCTGATATGAGACTTTTTTTATCTTAAGCTGGGACGTCACAGATTCACATGAACCCGTAACTTATAAGCAAAATCATGCCTAAAGAGCGTTTCGTTCTTTAATCGACCTTATAAGACGTGAATCCAAACTACTCAAATCACAAAGTATAAGACACCAGGTGAAAAACCGAAAAAAAATGTTAAAAGTATATGAAGATGCACACTTACACGAGCAATGTACATTGGTAAATCATAAATAGGTCCACCATAAGTTGAGCCAGGAAGTTCCCCATCTAAAGGTATTGCAGTATTTATATGTATAAATCCAGGACATCGAGTATTAAAACAAGCTAATTTTCCAGCCTGTCATCGTAAGAAAAAAAATCGAATATTAATTAATACATTGATTTTCAAGTAAATCATAACATAATTAGTTTTAATACGAAAGAAGCACCTTAAAATATGTGTATAATCGTGTATGAGTGTCTCCATAGACAGGTGGATTCACCTAATACAAAATTGAGAGTCAGTAGATATACAATCGCGATTTATATATAACTAACTTGAGTTAAAAGATACTAATACGAATTAATTAGTATTATTAAACTTACTGTCCAACCAACTTGTATACTGTCGATTCCATTTTGAACCTTAATACGACCTCCACTATGTTGATGTTGAGGATTATGCAAGCTTAAAATTGCTCCTGCTCCTGCTCCTGCCATTTGGTTACTTGGATTATTTAGGATTTGTACTGTTGCAAACTGAATTAAGCAAAATCACAACGATCAGAATAAGTGTGATCTTATTATATGTGTATTTTTAAATTTTATTTTTTGCATATGTATATAGTGTATACATATATAGTTTGAGCTAAAAACAATGAATTCAGTAGAATATGGTTGATAAAAACATACAAACCTTGTAGCCTCCTCCAAATTTTGTATGAGATTTGGTTCCATTTGAAACATTGAACTCTATACCCTACATAGAAATAATAACCATATATATTGTGAATAAAAATATAAAAAGAGAAGTTTGAATTTTTGAAATTTTAAAAACTTGTAGAAAATCTTGCAACAAACTCACATCACCATCAGGAGAATCATCTGCACCTCTAATTTGTGATAAAAGTCTTTGTTGTATTAGATCATCTTTAGTAATTCTTCTAATAGGAACTGTTCCAGTAGGACAACCTCCGCCTTTTAACCCTATGTTTAAAGGTCTATTAGTGTTTGAAGAAATGTCATCTTTTTGTAAATTGGGCAAGGTAGGTTTCATCTGCATCCAAAAAAGTAAATTTTTGAGTTGCTATATATGTACAATAATTGTTTCAACATTTGATTACAAAAATTGAATTATACGAACTTGAAACTAGTGTATGGATGTACCTCGGGATGAAAATTGTGATTCTTTAGTAAGGGATGATCGAAAGCAGGTTGTTTGTAAAAGTCCATGCAATCATATATTTCTCCATATTTTCCCTACTTAACAACAAATAATAGCAATTATTGGCCAATCTTAATATAAACATAGATGTAGTGCAAAATTAGATCTAATATTTATTATTTGATTGTTCTTATATACATCCCAATAGCTAACATTACAATTCTAATCATAGTGTCACGAGTTCGAATCTCCGTAACCATCCAATTGTTGCAATATAATAAGGTCTTTTTACCTTTTCATCACGTACGTCAGACGAAAGACATTATTATAGAGATTGTACCTTAATCGTCTTGATTGCTGGCTTATTAAGAAGCTTTAGTTGCTTCTCTAACTCTAAATCTTCTGCTTCAACTTCAAATTGGTTTAAAAATAGAAAAATTGCAACCAAAATTTGTATGATGGCTCTTAGATGCAATGACATTTTTCTATGTATCCAATATTGTATTTGATTAATTTTTCTTTAATTTTTATAACTCATTTCAAGCAAATATACCATTGATTATCAACAAGTTAATAAATAAAACAACAAAGTTATGTCACATTAATTACCTAATTTATTAAGACTTGAACGCAAGATTAACTAAAAACTCCACAACTAACTAGAGATTTTATTCTAATCAAAATAGGAGTAGGCTCGTTTTAATGCTACAAGTCCATAATATTTGACCTTGGGATATTTTATTTAATGCATTAGGATAAGTGATTATATTTGAAATCCGGTTGATTTGAAGTTATAATTTATTTACACATGTAATTTACATTTCTTAAATTTGATTCCTTTTTTTTTTTTTTCATAAACATGAAAAATCTACAATTTGTGAATACCATAAAAAACATCTCCAACTCTTATACCAGATGAACAAATCATAGTTTATAAACAAAATGTCGAAATATTTTAAAACACTATCAATAAATCAAATATCTCTATGTTTCTTTATATATGTTCACCTGGTCCTCCATATAGGACTAAATTACCAGATTCAACCCCAGAGTTTGGATAATCAGTGACTCTATACAAATTTGGACTATTTGCATATAATTTCACTTCAATATCATCTAAAGATTTAGTTTCATTTTTATCTGTTAAGTAGGTACTATTCTTAAAATATCCATCTTTCTTCAAGTCTCCAACTGGAAAATAGCCACCGCCCATAGAAGGTTCTGGTACACCTGGTGGACTATATACGATTCCTCCATATTCAACACTTGTTGCAAATTCATTTAACTTTGTAAATATCTTTGATGGCCAAAATCCAACTGATGTATAGTTTGGTCCAAATTTAAACCACCAATTTCCATTTGAAATGTCCTATAAATGGTAAAAGAAAAAAAATCAGATAAATAATAATAAAAGAAGGTTAAGTTTATGGATTGATAGAGTGTATTATTTATATAATCAGATTATTTACAAGATAATTTAATTACATGTCATTCTATATAATAAGCATTCAGTAGTAATATAGAATAAATGATAAGTAACCTGCTATAACATGTCAAAGTACATGAATATATATATTCATTGTTTTTTTTAGATTATCATTGGATTATAAAATGTTTTATGATGAATACGATCATTTCACCTTTAATTTGAGTATTTTGAATTCGAGCTCAGAATATGAAAAAACAGAAGATGGAAGATTTACACAAATTTCCTTTTTATGCCACAATTTAGATTTTGTCTGTCTTTGAAAGTTGTGCAAATATAGCTCTTAGGATTCAGACACTAATCTAACGTTTTCTCATAAAATTTATCGTTTGTTCAAAAAAGACTATATGCAATAGTCTAAAAAGTCTATAAGTTGCCAGAGAAATTAAAACAGGATCGACATTCACTAAGCAATTATCCCAAAAAAGAGACAATAGACAAAAATTGTGGAAGGAATAATTTTGGTAAAGAGTGTTTCTCTTTTTAATGTGTTCTACGCAACGTAGGGGAAGATGCACACTTACACGAGCAATGTACATTGGTATATCAAATATCGAGTGGAAAACTTTAAAAAATAGGGGAAGATGCACACTTACACGAGCAATGTACATTGGTACATCATAAATAGGTCCACCATAAGTAGAGCCAGGAAGATCTCCATCTAAAGGTATTGCAGTGTTTATATGAATAAATCCAGGACATCGAGTATTAAAACAAGCTAATTTTTCTGTCTGCAATCATAAAAAAAATAAATTAATTAATACATCGACTTTCAAGCAAATCATATCATAATTAGTTTTAATACGAAAGAAGTTAAAGAAAACTACCTTTAAATACGTGTATAATCGTGTATGAGTGTCTCCATAGACATATGGATTCACCTAACACAAATTTATTAGGTAACTTTGATTAGCATATATAGTCTGATGCAGGATTTAGAGTCAGTAGATGCACTCACACAAATAATTACTCGAGTTATAATTAAAACTTACTATCCAACCGACTTGTATGCTTTCGATCCCATTTTGAACCTTAATACGACCAGCACTAAATTGATGTCCACTAAGATTTTGAGGATTATGTAAGCTAATAATTGCCCCAGCTCCTGTTATTTTGTTTGTTGAGTTGTATGGGATTTGCACTGTTGCAACTGAAACAAAGCAAAACACAACATTTTTTAAGCCTCTAGCTAGTCGATATACATAAATTATAAGACTAATTATACATTGATACACATGTATATACATATATTATTCATCTGTTGGCTATTTTTAAGGGGTGGGCGGGTATAATGTGTTAAAATATCGAAAATATTAGTGTTTCATAGCTAGAATATGGAATAATAAAAGCATATAAACCTTGCGTCCTCCTTTAAAAGGTGTACTTGAGTTGTTTCGATCTAATATACTGGATTCTATATCCTGCATAGAGATAATAATCGTATATATTGTGAAGAAAAATATGAAAAAAGTGTTTGAGTTTTGAAATTCGAAAAATGTTGTAGAATCTTTTGCATTAAACTTACATCACCATCAGGGGATTCATCCGCGCCTCTAATATGTGATAAGAGTCTTTGTCGTATTAGATCGTCTTTAGTAATTCTTTTGATAGGAATTGTTTCAGTAGGACAACCTCCGCCTTTTAACCCTATGTTAAAAGGTTTGTTAATGTTTGAAGAAGTGTCATCTCCTTGTAAATTGGGCAAGGTAGGTTTCATCTGTATCCAACAACAATATATTTAGTGAAATTTCACAAGTGATCAAGTCTGAAGAGGTTAGAGTGTGTGCAGATTTTACCCCTACCTCGAGAGGTAAAGAGACTGTTTCTTAAATTTGTTTCAAAATTTGATTATAAAAATTAGATTGTATGAACTTGAAACTAGAGTATAGATGTACCTCGGGATGAAAATTGTGATTCTTCAATAGAGGATGATCGAATGCAGGTTGTTTGTAAAAGTCCACACAATCATATATTTCTCCATATTTCCTCTGCTTATCAAATAGTATACTACTAATTAGTTTCCATTCTTTATATAAACATAGACATAGTACAAACTATTATTCTTAATATTTATATTGTGATTGTCCCTTATGGACATCCAAATCCCAATAGCTTACATATTACGATTCAAATCGCAGTGTCACGAGTTCAAATCTTTATGACCATCTGATTACTCTAGTACAATAAGGTTATTATTATTTCTCCATCACGTTAGACAAAATAAATTATTTTCTTTAAAATCTTTATAAAAATAGAGATTGTACCTTTATAGTCTTGATAGCTGGCTTATTTATAAGCTTCAATTGCCTCTCCAATTCCAAATCTTCAACCTTAGATAGGCTTTGTCTTGCTTCAATTTTGGCATAGCTCAATAATAGTGAAATTGCAACCACAATTTGTAATATAGCTCTCAGATGCATCAATGATTTCTACATTAATTTGAGAAATAATTAAGCAAACTTTTGGATTAGAAATATATATATAAATATAAATGACCCAAAGAAAGAATTAGAATAGAAATATATATAAATGACCACCTCAATTTCATGGAAACACACAATACATGTCAATTCTCACTAGCAGTAAACACCACCAAAAAAATTCAAAGCATACGAAAATGAATTTCTGAAAAGTTACCTGATGTGACATGACTCTGGAGATGATATTTGTAACAAAATGCAAATAAATTTGAAATTAAACTAGTATATTAGTAGAAGATGGGGAAGCATTTATTTAAATGGTGCAAGTAAAAATAGTAATGTTACAATTAACTTTCTACATTTTGGATTTCTTATAAAGGGAATAAATTTACGAAAATCTTATATCATTTTTTTGGACATCTTTTTGATGATGCAGATAAGGTAAACTAGTCAGTAATTCATTTCTTATAAATGTGTTTTTGACTAATTTTATAAACTGGTTAAATTAGCTTATAAATATTTTTCAATTTATATATATGTTTGGTAAATACTAAAATGTTACAAGTCAAAAGTCATAAGGTTATCCTAAAACTTATGATTTTACACCTACTAAACATTTTGGTTTGACCAAATATTTTACAATTTTATTGCTGATATTATTTGTAATCTTTGAAATCTCTTCCTAAATCATATAATTTATTAGAAAAATTACTGAAATACACGTCTTATGTTTCCCTTATTTCTAATATTTCCTTCTATTTCTAAAAACCTCTAAAATCCCTTATTTCTCTCCTAATTTTAAATTATTTTATAATGTATCCGGGTTGGTTTTTAATGTATGAGTTACATATTATGTATCCGGTTTATTTTATAATGTATCCGAGCTACATATTATGTATCCAGTTTGTTTTACTTTTTCAGGGATTAATGTAATTACAAACTAAATAGGGATATATTGTAATTTCATATTAAAACTGTGTGATTCCTAAAATTTATAATAATTTATTTATCTTTCTATTCTATTTTAAACACAAAAAGAATTAAAATTATGTGTTGGGCTCAGCCAGTCCAAAGATACTTTTACATGGTATGATATTGTACTTTGGGCCAAACTCACATGGTTTTCCCCCAATGGGCCTCACACCAGAGATCATACACCTTATATGAGCTTTCCAATCTTTTTAGCTATCAATGCAGAACACTGGAATTTTTGTTTGCAAACCCGACAATTGTCCTCTTGAACTAAGTTCTACGTGGCCCATCACCATTATTCAGAGTTAATATCTTAAAAGGTCACTGAACTATGAGAAATTATCTTGTAAAGTCACTAAACTTTATTTTGTATCACTAAAATCACTCAACTTTACACTTTTATCTTCTAAAATCATTAAACCATATTAGTCACCAAAATAAATCTGACATGGCAAAATAAATTATTTTTTATGCCATATCATCGTGGACCCCACAAATGAATAAAATTATTTAAAATTAATTTATCAATATACATACCCACCCATAAGTTGTCTTCTTCTAAAACAGTAAAACCCTATTTCTGCTCAAATCTCCCCAAATCTCCCGCTTCCTTCTTCTACTTCTTTCTCTATTTCTCCCAAAATTCTCATCTACAAAGAGGCACTGTAAAGTCTATTTTAAGGTTATTGATGCTGAAATTTTTCATAAACAATGGATTCCTTCATTTCTTCGAGGAATAATGTGATGAAATCTGTAAAAGAATGGTCCCCCCCGCACCCACAAGCCTCTAATGCCGACGAAAGGGACCACTACGTGCTTGGTAAACGAATCCTACTTCAAAATGAGGTAAAAAATATAAATTTTTAACTATATTGTCCTTTTATTGTAGAATCTCGAAATGGGTTTAGGGCTTTTTGTATTCTAATTTTTTCCCCCTGTATTTAGAGGAGGTTAGTTCATTGTTGATTTTGTGTACGAGGATGTGATTATCTAATGTCTTTGTAACCTTAGTCTCCATTGTAGTGCTCTAAAATTAAAAATTCAGGCATTAGCCTATATGGGGTTTCTTTCATTCAGGCTATAAATTATTCTTATGGATTAATATTTATTTGTTTGTAAGAGTGACTTGTTTATTTTTTATGATTATACTATTATTAGTATGAAGCAAATATTTAATGCTAAGTATTCTTTCTATCTTTTTTATTTCAGAGTTCTGGTTCATATTTTCCTGAAACTTCAAAGGCTTTAGAATTAGATTTTTCAAACTATTTGGAAGTTGTTAGCGATATCGGCGTTGAAGATACAATAGTTGATAATAGGAAGGATAATGGTGTGGACAAAAATATTTTAATTGAGGGAAATTCAACTAAAGTTGTTTTACAAGGTATTAGAGGTGATGTAACTAATGAAGTGGATGAGCAGTTTAGTGATCCAGACTATAATTTGTCCGATGAAGATGACGATTTCCGGGATGTTATTGATGATCAACAAGTTCTTATTGATGATCAACAAGTCAAAAAGCTTAGAGGAAGACCCAAAAATGCAAGTGTCAATGTGCCAGTTAGCTCTGGAATTTTAGTACCTCTACAAAATGCTGATGTTGAATCTGATTATTCATATTCAGATGAATTGCCTGATGATGATGTTCAATTTGATAAAGGAGAAAACAATGGTTAGAAAAATAATATCTATGAAGAATATGATGAAGGTAAAAACAAGAATTTGCCTAGATTTGCATTAGGGATGAAGTTTAAGAATTTCAAGCAATTCAAAGAAGCTTGCAGGGAATTGGGTATTAGAAAAAGAAGGCAGTTACGTTTTAAGCCCAATGATCAACAGAGGGTGGTTTGTATTTGTAAGGTTGATGGCTACCCCTTTAGAATTTATGCTAGTAAAGTGAATAAGCGCGATCCAACTGTTCAAATCAAGTCACTTTACCTAAAACATAAAGGTGCTAAGGTGTTTGATAATTTCCACTTATCTCCTAAGTACATTGCTAGAAAGTATTTGAATATTTTTAAAGCTGATCCAGGTTGGAACATAAGTGGTATTGTTGAAATAGTAAGGAAGGACTTTGATTATACTATAGAAAATTTGAAGGCTTGGAGGGCTAAAAGTCAAGCATTAAAATGGATTTATGGTGATGAGGGTCTTCAGTATGGCAAGTTACTATCGTATAGAGCTGAATTATTGAGATCTAATCCTGGATCTAATGTTGTAATTTGGAGAGATGGGGGAAAATTCTTGGGATTTTATGTGTGTCTGGGAGCACTTAAGGAAGCTTTTAAATCGGGTTGTAGGCCATTAATTAGCCTAAATGGTTATTGGCTAAAAGACACATATGGAGGAAATTTATTATCTATCGTGGCAATAGATCCAAATGATTGTATATTTCCAGTTGCTTATGCTGTGATAGCTGAAACAGAGAGTAAAAAAACATGGAGCTGATTTATTGACAATCTTGGATATGATTTAGACATCAGAAATAGTCACCACATTGCCTTTATGTCTGACAGGCAAAAAGTGAGTAAAAATCTTTTATATTTTTTGTTCTTTTTTCTGTTTAACATACATATGTTACTACTTTGTTTCTTATGTAGGGTCTGATTGGAGCTGTAAAAGATTTGTTTCCGAAAGCTGAACATAGAAATTGTGTTAGACATATGTATCAGAACTTCAAGCAAAAACATAAAGGCAAAGCTTTGAAGGATTTGGTATGGAATGCTGCTAGGGCAAGCAATAAGGTGATCTTCCAGAAATGCATGGAAACACTGATCAAGAGGACAAAGCGGCAAGAGAGTGGTTCAATAACCCAGAAAGGCCATTTCAAAGTTGGACTAGAGCATTGTTTAGAACAAATACAAAATGTGATATGTTACTCAACAACTTGTGTGAAAGCTTTTACAGGTAATTAATTAAATACTTTCATCCACTTATTTTTTGGTCATCACGCTGTTATTTATGCCTTTAGGTAATTGCATAAGTTACATTGCCAGGCTGAGGTTGTCTTCGGAAATATCGACTGATAAATTTCTTGTTATGATGGTGTTGTTTTCTCTTATTTGTGATTATGTTGATCACCTTTATCGACTGGTGTATGTTAAGTTGGAGTAAGGTCTATGCACACTTTATCTCTTAGACCTTACTTGTGATATTACACCGAGTATCTAGTTGTTGTAGTTATTAATTTACAATATGTATTACTAATGTAGTACTTATTTTAGGTATATACTTGATGCTAGAGATAAAGCTATTATTACAATGCTAGAAATGATAAAAAACAAGTTGATGAAAAGAATGTACAAGAAAAGAGAGTGGATTGCAAAGTCTGATAGTTCAATTTGCCCAAAAATTGTGAAAAAATTGAACAAGATTAGCAAGGAAGTAATTTGGTTTAAAACTGATTATTCAGGGGGACCAAGAGTCTCGGTAGATGGTCCTGGTGGAGTTAATATTGTTGACATGAAGGCAAAGAGTTGTACATGTAGAAGATGGGAACTTACTGGACTACCATGTCCTTATGCATTTGCATGTATTATTGGAAATAGTGAAAGAGTGGAGGATTATGTGGATACATTCTACACAATTGAAACTTTCAAGAACGTATATTCACATTACATAAATCCAACAAATCCAGAAGATCACTGGCCTGAGGTTGTGGATTGTGGAGAGGTAATACCACCTAAAATTGTGAAGAAAAAGTGAGGAAGAAAGCCCAAATCAAGGAAAAAAGAGCCTGAAGAATTAGAGAAGAAAAAGAAGGCTGAAGCTGTAGGAAAAGCTGAAAAAAGAGCTGAGCAGAAGTCTGAAAAAAGGCGACCTCAAAAGTTATCCAAAAAAGGTTCTACGCAGGTTATGTGTTCGATTTGCAAAGAGTATGGACATAATGCAAGAGGACATTATAAATTTGTCAAAGCCGGAGAATCATCTTCAAGCCATTATTTGGAGGCTATAAGTCCAGCTGAAGAAGCTTCAAATGACGGGGATTATTTAAATATGTATAGCCCGGAGATGTGGAATAATAATCACCAAGGATTGAGTTTGGCATATCAGTCGACCATAACTCAGGTAATCATTGTTTTAAAGTTAATACAATTTGAATGCTTTCTCTACCATTATCTTTAGTTCTTATATTTTTTTTGTTCACAAGGCACCAATTGAAGAACAGGTAACAGTTGTTCAAACTGATGTAGTGGCTGCTCAAGGTGTTGATGAAGTTGCAATTAAAGGAATCGAAACTACTAGACTATCTCATACTTCTAAGAGAGGCAGACTCTTTAAGAGAAAAGTCATGAAGGAGTACATTGTTGAAGTTCAGAAGAAGAAGAAGATTGGAAATCATAGCAAAGTATAGAAATTATCTTTGTAATTTTTTGTGGTTATGTGAGACACCTATTACAACACTATATATTGTTGTCGTTCTTTTTATTTTTTTGCTAACAATGGTGCTCATAACAGCCTAGTATGTAATATATTTTTTAGAAATGCTCTAATGTTACTTGTGTTTTGCTTATTTATATTGGAATTGATGTACAAGTATGATTATGTCACATGGTGGACACGAGAGGCAATATAGTATGTGCCATTGAATTTAACATATATTTCCAACGTTGGTTATAATTTTTTAAATGTTGTTGATAAGAAAGAAATTTTGATTGAAATAGTCCAAAAATAAAAAAAAAGAGTCATGGATTTTATTGCAAAAACAGGATTTAAGAGGGGAACACATAAAAATGAATAAATTTTATAATTTTGTTTATTTGTGGGGTCCATGATTACATGACATTAAAATAAATTAATTTTATAATTTTATTTATTTGTGGGGTCCACGATGACATGGCATAAAAAATAATTTATTTTGCCATGTCAGATTTATTTTGGTGACAAATATAGTTTAATGATTTTAGAAGATAAAAGTGTAAAGTTGAGTGATTTTAGTGATACAAAATAAAGTTTAGTGACTTTACAAGATAATTTCTCATAGTTCAGTAACCTTTTAAGATATTAACTCCATTATTCACAAGTCAATTTTCTTTTTGGGAAAATTTTCAAAACAACAATATTTTAGCTTTTAGTGGGACTCCTTAGCAACAATTTCATTATTTATTAAAAATGTCATTATTTTAGTTTGTTAAGGGATTAGTTATGTATTTATTTTATTTTGATTAATTTGAAAGAATACAAATAATTAGTAACAGAATAGAGAAAATCATGGAACAAACAAATTCAAAAAAGGTAAAAAAGATTTTAAATACAAATCAGTTACGTTTTGAAAAGAGCATAAATAGCCATCTTTTCGTCAAGCCTTTTTTTTCTTTCTTCTTAAGAACATCAAAACGAAAAATTAAAATAATTTAGTTTGTCTTCCAAATCATTCATCTGATAACATTCAAAGCTTCTTCAAGTTGAATGCGACATATTTTTGAAACAAAAATTTTCAAAATTGACAACTATAAATTTGTCGCATCCAGTGAACAATCGAAAAACAATCAGGTATTTTTTTTCAATTTTTTTATTTGTTTGGATGAGATATTCGTATATGTCGAGTACAAGAGTGTTTTTTTCCCTGATTGGATCAATGAAATCTTTGTATGCATTGAAGATTTATAGCTTTTTTCAGATGTTTTGTATCCAAATTATGATGTATAACAAATGCAATTGTTTTTTTTTTAGTTTAGTAGCTATTTTTTTATGTTTGAATGCATACAATAATTTGTATCCCATTAAGTTAATGTAACTAATTGATCATGAACTATATGTTGAATACAATAATATATAATACAAAAGTGAGATGAAAATACAAAGTTATAAATACAAAATGAGATTGAATATAAAGTTGTGAATACAAAAGAAATTAAATACTCTCTTCATTTGAAATACAAAGTGACTTTGAAAGGTAAAGTAGGCACATAAAATACAAAATTTGTTGGTATATAATTAGGTTGAATACAAAACAAAAGATAAATACAAACTCGTTCACATATAAATTGAGATTGAAATACAGAATGAATACCCAATAAAATACAAAATTGTTAGCATACAGTTAGGATGAATACAAATTAAGAAGGAAATACAAACATGTTGGTATACTAATTGAGATTGAAATACAATGTAAAAACAAAAAACGTAAAACTTGCTGATATATAGATAGAATGAATACATAAATAAACTGTTGATTCAGACATTGTAGACAAACAAATGATTTTCTCAAATCTAAAACCCTAAAAGCAAATATAAATGTATTAAAAATCAAACAAAATAAACATATGAATGAATTTGTAGATTTTAATAAATCTGAAATATTAAAACGAAATCAGAAAAAAATTGTTTAATCGACTAAAAATCTAAAATACATAAATTTTACATAAATATGTAAACAAACTTGCATAAAAATAAAAAAAATTAACGGAAAATCCGTAATATGTACAATGTGAAATATAAATCATAAACAGTGATATTGAAAACAAATCAAAAGAAATCTAAATAACTAATTGAAATACATAAATATTAGATGAATATGTAAACACACTTGCATAAAAATAAAAAAAATTGACGAAAAATCTGTAATGTGTACAATGCAAAATATAAACCATAAACGGTGATATTGAAAACAAATCAAAAGAAATCTAAATAAGTAATCGAAATTACCTTTACCAAATTCAAAATTTCTTGAATTAATAGATAGATTTTGTTTACCAACCGAGAAATTTCTTGAATTAATACAAAGATTTTGTTGAAGAATCGAACTTTGAATAATTTGTGTTTCAAGGTTAGCAAAAAACTTGAAAAAAGAGAATCTGGGAACGTGAAAGGTGGGGAAAAAGAAAAACTTTAAGTTAGAAACGTGAAAGGTGGGGGAAAAGAAAAACTTTAAGTTAGAAACGTGAAAGGTGGGAAACGTGTAAGATGTGGAAAGAATATTAATGGATAATTTTGTATTTGTATTTTATTTTTAATCTGTTATTGGTTAGAATTTGGTCCAATGATGGACTCTTTTGATTAATAAAAGGAAACATAAATGTGAATACAAATTATTTTTGAAAATATTGACATTCTGACATTTTAAATAAATATTTTAAAGTATTGTTGTTTTGACTAAATATGTTAGATATTATGACTAGACAGCTAATTTTCCCTTTTTTGTATTTACTTTATATCACCCATATCATTTTAGTAGGCAATTGTAGCCCACAACTAGCTTATTCTTGTGTGTGCATCTCTAATAAGAATCAACGGGGCAATTGAAAGAAAAAAGAAAACATATGTGGATTTAGATTAAGAAATTGTAATTATGGACAACAAGGAACTAAAACTCTCACCTCCCAATTGATTTCAACACCTAAAATCAACCCTCCTCAAGAATCAAAGGCAGTCAAAATCAAAAGATGAACACAAATGGAAGACACTTTGATTAGTCAAGCAAAAAAGTTAACTATCAATTCTAAGAGTTAACTACTAATTACTCACTAATTCCTTAAGGGAATTGAATTAAACACTAAATTAAGCAACTACAATTTGAGAGCATTCAATTTCAACATTCAACATACTCTTAAGTCTTCCAAAATGGGAAAAAAAAAAAACTAATATTTATAATAAAGGAAATAAAAAAGACACTTCTTTGACAATTTTTTTCCCTTAATGATATAAGGGCCTTGTTTGATTGTCTTCTTTTATGAATTCTTGAATTCATGAGATGGTCATTTTCACACATGGTCACTTTCTTCTTTCTCTTCACTTTGATGGACCTTTAACATTTATATATCTTTATTTGGTGTCCATTAAGCTCCTCTAACGCTTTCATATGATCTATGATATACATGCCGTTATCAATCTCCAAACTCATAAGACCTACTAATGTTCAACGGAATTTCATCTCTTTGTAAATTAGAGATGGTAGGTTTCATCTTCAACCTAAAAAGGTAAGTTTTATGAGGAGTAATATATGTACAATAATATTTATTTCAAATTTTGATTATAAATATTAGATTGTATGAAATTGAAATTAGTGTAAAGATGTACTTCGGATGAAAATTATGATTCTTCAATTGGAAATGATCAAATCCAGGTTGCTTATGAAAATTCACATAGTCAAATCTAGGTAACAATATGTCTCCAATTTTTACATAAACGAAGAAGTAGTGCAAAGTATTAGAACTAATAGTTGTGATTGCCCCTTATAGACATCCCCAATTGGTTATAAGGCATTGATTCAAGTTCACATGATATGCACACATCTAATATATATATATATATATTATAAAGGCTGCAAGACAAATTGTAGGCCTAGGTTCAAAAAGGACAATATGTGTCATGAGCTTGAGTCGTGACAAATATGATATTACAATTTGTACTCTCTTACGATGGTAGGCCAAACCCCTTTTGAAGATCACATGCACATGACAACTTAGGTAAATCGAATGGGAGAGGAACCTGTCTCTCAAATGCACCGACATTTTTCTACATATTATATTGTAGAGATGCAAGCCAAATGTGTTTAGCTAATTGTTCTTGTAACAAACTCAATAATAACCAAGGGAACTTTTGTAGTATTGCAATCACTGACTGGAATTACAAGAAAATAACAACTGGTAAGGAAGAACAATTAAGAAGAAGAAGATAGAGATGAGATACAGAAGAAGATAAAAGATGAGAGTAACAAACAACTTCTTTCACAATTTGCATAAGTCCAATTTGCTCTCTCAAGTCGTATTAATCAACCTGAATCCCAAACATAGTCTGGCCCAATTGCTTGTTCTCAGCCCAATAGGTCTTGCCAGCCCAACAACTATTTGTGTGATCTTGGTATTCCTATTGGGTTGGACTTGGTTCATAACAATACTCTCGTCCTCAATAAGAACCTTGTCCTCAAGGTTCGAGTAGAGCCACACAGACAATATAATATTGAATCTTCCAAGACTCAAGTGGGTGTAGAGAGCTGCAATAGTGGTGCGAAGTATACACCAAACACTTACAACTTGCACAATTGAGGAAACAAATTCATTGCCTTCAAAGAATTCCATATTACCAAGAATCATAACAAAGGCCACAACTCTAAACAATTTCATCTGCTCTCTTTTGCCAAGCCAAGCAATTTTCAATACCTCTTTTATATTAACAGAATCATGAGCAGAAGTAATACATGCTATTATTTCATAGCAATAAGATTGTTGGAGATAGGAAAATGATTCAGGATCCCTCAATCTACACTTCTTGTTTACTCCATAGGTGTTTCACAGAGAAGGGAGAGATAATGATGTTTCTATTGAAGAATTATAGCAAGAAGGGCTTGAGAGCTTGCGAGGAGAGGCAGTCTCATGGCTGCACCGGATGTTTTTCTAAGCTCTGCAAGCTGAA